ATAAATGCTCCCCTTTTAACTCTGTCGTTGTTGATTCATTGCATTTATATTATTTTCAGTCAGAAGATACCTGCCCAAGCACTACCGAGACGGCGAGATGCAGGATTTGTTAATGAAGACGAGGAATACGATGATCAAATTCCTTTAACTACAATACGTAGAGTGCCTTTGGATCTGTATTTTGCCGATAATTACCTTCGTCAGCTTCACTTAGCACAGATGCAGGTCGACGACAAAAGCGATCCAAACCTCGTGGAGTATTATAAAATGATCAGGTAAGATCTACCGATTGATAGAAGGTTGTTTGGCGTGAGAATTTTTGTACTGCGCGCTATTCTTCCTTTTCGCTGACGTCCCCAGACGATTGTTGTTACATATTGTCCAACATTCACTTCTACTAAATTGAACAGTAGGTCGTACCGACACAAACCTCAGATACGTCATCCCAAAGCCAATGGTGAAAAAAATGAGACTCTTCCAGTCTTCATTATCATAGATGACGTAACTTTGTATGCGCTCGCAAGCTATATAATAGACGTCCGTTTAACCGAAGCTTTTTATAGAATGTGCTTCTTTTTTGTTCCATGTCTGCTGCGCCACTGAAGCGTGATGATGCGCCACCTATATTTTCGCTTTAAGGGTCCCCTTCTATTCATTGATGCGTTGATGTCATCCACTCATTTATCATTGTATTGTTACAGCGACTATCTGAGAACCGGTATCGTAGCCGAAAAGCCTGAGAACTATAATAGATACATGCGGATACTCTTGCATTGTGAGGATATTCAGCAAGAGGCCGATATCCGACTTTACGATAAACACGATGCACAACTCAAATATTCCATCGATACAGAAAGGTATGAGAGAGGACATAGCATGTCAAATCTCAGCGAATCTTGAGTTCAGTCATCTGAAGCCACAGAAACATGTGTTCTCAGTTTAGCTTGTTCGTCATTTACAATTCAGGCCGTCTTCATGGCCTTCTTCAAATCGGACGTAATTTTATTTTTGTACTGATGTGCCGCTGGCGACAGTCTAAAGTATTAAATTCGTCTATCTGCCTGACCCTAATCATTTACAGGTTCGAGCTGGAAGTCGAGGGCTTGCAGGAAGGCCGTCCATCGCTTCTGCCTTTGGATTATATATATATTCGGTTTCTTAATAATCCTGATGTTAATAAGACGATAGAATATGAGGGTTTAATTTATCGTATCAAATCAAGGTCAGTCGAGATCAACATGACACCTCAGTAAGTAGTGTGTCTCGCATATCAGCTCTCTATACAACTGACGATACATATTGTACGTCATTTTAACATATAATAGTCGTAGATAAGCGACAAACTACTGCCACTGTATTACGTTTTGTTCGATGCGAATTTAGGTTTCTTGATGCTTATCACAGCCTTACTGCTGATGAGGATGATCCTAACACTCTCAATTTAGAAAAGGCGGAAGAACTGCGATTTGGTATACGTTTTTCCGTGAACCGAAAGAATCTGCGTTTAATGCATCGCGCATTGAGTCAGGTTGAGCAGCGTCTAAAGAATATAAATGATTCCATTGAATCTATAATTATTCCTCAAAAAACGTGGCCGGCGGACCTGGCTATTAAAGACCCCTCAGTGGATATAGAACTAATAAAGTAAGTAGTAACAATAGCACAATAATAATAATAATAATAATAATAGAAAAATCACATAGAATGGTCACGAATGGGCGATAAAACACCGACGTAGGCGGCCACACATAGTCCATGCTGACTATGTATAATAAAATGGTTAGATTTATAATTTACATTTGTGGACTAATACTGCGTATCATACGCGTATAATAAATTTAAGGTTTTGTTCCACTCCCGCAGCAATAACATCGCCAGTAACTGCGAACAGTTTACTGCAGTACAAAACATAGTGCGCGGCTTAAGTCGCCCGCTACCGTACATCGTGTTTGGGCCTCCCGGTACAGGAAAGACAACTACAATCACAGAAGCCATCTTGCAGGTAAGCAGGTCTTCTTCTATTTTTCTACTTCATGAGTTTCGTATCTCCGTAAGCGTAACCGCTTTGCTATATCTTACCAGTTTGAATCTGGATAATTTAAAACTTATTCAATAAATCAAGTAAGTATTAGCACTGAGGGGAAGCTCTGTGATTTTCCTTATATCCACTTGTGTTAAACTGACCCGGATATTCAGAGGTACGTTAGGAAACTCTGGACATGGTACATTCCATCGTCCATAGGTATAAGGAGGCCTGTACGGTACACAACGTTCTGCCAAATAACGCACTACTAATTTGGTATACATTATTGTCGTTGGGGGCAAATTTGTGAATAACGATCATAACTCTGTGACAGGTGTATAAGATAATTCCAGAAAGTCGAATCCTTATCACTGCACCATCTAATTCGGCTGTCAACGTGATCACGGAAAAAGTTATATGTGGTGGCATCATTCCAGAGCACGATATCTTTCGATGCTACAGTATGAATTGCAATAAAAATAAGGTATTCATTTATAGTTGTACATACTATATATCTATATATATATTGGGTAATCGGTCAGCGACCTTACGAAGGATCGATCTCCAATCGCTTCCGTTATGCGGGCCAAGCAGATAAGCTCTGAATGCTTGTTCAAAAGTATAACTAAAATAATCTGATCTCTTTTCTCAAGGATTGCTTTAAAAAAGTAAAATGGATGTTATCAAATTTACGTTGGTCACCACCGTTGTACATTGCTGTCTTCATATGGTAACGTAAACAGTTTAAAGTCTAGACTGTTATGCACTAACGTTGTATCATGTATATGTATGTACATGAATTTGCCTTACGATAACCGTCACCGTGTGATTCAGGTGTCCGCGGATCTGGAAAAGATTTCGAACTACAACGCAAAGGAAGACACCTGCTATGAGTTCGACGTGGAAACGCTTCTCATGTTTCGCATTATCGCTTGCACGCTATCTATGTGCGGAAAGTAAATGTGGGCTCTTCTTTTTTTTTTATTTACGCAGAAAACGTAGAATACGGGTGCTACCAGCAGCGAACACTGGCAGCGTACGCATCTGATCATCGTCCAGACTCTGGCGTAGTTTTTTGATTTAAGAAATCTAACATCGCAACGAGCTTCCTATAGCAGTATAGAACATTCTGTCAGTTACATTAATAGCAAAACATGTCTGCTTTTGAATATGTTTCAGGATTCTCTATACCAAGTATTCAAAAACCCTTGTTTAAAAAGTGCGTCCCTTCATTTAAAACCCCGAAATAGAGATTACGTTTAATACATTCGTCTTTTTCGGTAATGCTGATGCAACACCCTTTTCGCTACTTTGGGAAAGCTAAAATTGGCCATTACGTTTGTTCAGTCCCCTTAATTATATTTCAGGATTTACTACCGCGTGGCATAATCTATTATACAGAAATCTTGAAATGTACACTCCAGTATACACATAGTGTTAGGTTCGTATCTCCTTTCACATTGAAGGTCTGTTTAGCTAATTTTTTCATAGCTGAGAATAGCATTGCTTTCAGTAGTGGCAAAAGACAAATGTAAACGGAACGATGAGAAGAATAGTGAAAAAACAAGTAACTTCTTACGTGTGAACCTATATATATGTTAATGATGCTGGTTTTCGTTTAAAAATTATCAATAAGGTTCCAAGTGACTGCAATTATTGCTTGTTACAAATCGATCTCACAAGCCTATCGATCTCTCTGGCTGCTTGTAAAATCTGCTGCATTTCCGACGTGATGAAGGTCAGAAAATGGTATACGGTGGTGAGACAACGTAGCTCGAGTCATTCTTTAAGGTACAATCAACGTATGGATATTGCGATGAAAGTGCACTATTCTCTTTCTAGCTTGGTGACACAGGGATTTAAACCAGATCACTTCACGCACATATTTATTGACGAAGCAGGCCACGCCATGGAACCAGAGGCACTCATACCAGTCGCGGGACTGTTTAAGGTATCACAGTCGATTAGGTTTTTGTTAGATTCTCGATTGTTGGGCAAGGAACATGGGTACGTTTTTTTCGTGTACAACATAACAGAGATCACACCTATTGTCACACACAAAATCTGTGTGATGTAATGTGTGTGTGTGTGTATTTGATGTAATTGTAAACAAAAAGCGATCTCTATTGGAACATCTATTTGTACTGAATAATGACAAACAAATGTACTTCGCATGATTTAATTAATTTAATTCATTGACTGGAAAAACAATTGCTGCTTGTCCTGCTTCTAGAGCGAGATAAACTATTTGAATTATGCAGTATGTCTAGAACACAGCAATATTTTACTGGAATAACACGACTGCACGTAATAACGATAGACATACTTCGACGAATTCTAAACATTTATACTGTGCCCACGTTGAGTCAGTAAAACAAAATACTTTCAAGTGTCAAGATAGCAGAAAGCCAACCTGTAATACGTTCCTTAATCAACAGATCTATAAACCAGGTCAATGTGGCCCTGCCGGATGCCTTGTGTTGTCAGGAGATCACATGCAGTTGGGGCCCATCATTCGGTCACCAATTGCCAGAATGTATGCATTCGGTTAGTTGTTTTATACGAAGCTAATTATCCATTTAATAACAACCAATTATGTATAAATAATTACAAAATCGTTTTTGACAGATTCTGAGGAGAAAATAGCCTTAACAATTTTTTTTTGGGTTTTGATAAAAATAGCGTGTATGTATGCTTCCTATGTGTGTACCAAAAATATATGTATATTCAATAAAATGACTTCTCATATGAAAAGGGCTCATAAAATCTTGTCGTTTCCGGTGTTGTTCTCTTTCTGTTTAGGGCGATCGTTGCTCGAAAGGCTAATGGACACTTCTCCGTACAGGCGTCAGAAGAATAACGCCTTCAATCCGATATTCCTGACAAAACTCGTGAAAAATTTTCGTTCACACGAAATTCTTCTTCATCTTCCCAATAAGCTGTTCTATGATGACGAGTTGAAAGTAAGTGCTTCTATAGGGATCAACATTTTTCACTAATCGAACCCAAATTCGAAAATTGAATATTGCCTTAGACAAAATCGCTTCATGTTAAACTATGTTTATGTACGTACTGCGGCCTTCTGGCTCCGGTAGTACCCCTTGAAATTGATTCTTCATGTAAACTGTCGATTTTGTCGCTACCTATTTTTAACGTAAAGACAAATGCCTGCTTCGAAATCGAAAAGTGTCGCTATTTAAAACATTGTATCTTCCCATTCGTCGACCGTTGTTCTTTGCTTAATACGCGATATGATAATACATAGAACGACTGCTAGACAATAACAGGAACGCTTGTTTTTATTAGGCTCACGGGGATCGCAGTTTTACGCATGCAATGATCAACTATAAGGAACTGCCAGAACTTGGTGTGCCTCTCATTTTTCACGGAGTGTCCGGCACTGAACTTCGCGAAGGGGATAACCCATCGTTTTACAACCCGGAGGAGATCTCTGTGATCGAAAACTACGTCACTCAACTTTTGACAGTGTGTGCGGATGATTTGGGTTTATTTTTCTGTTTCTGGTATAACTATTTATATATGTCGGGCCTGCGACTTACGTATGGAGAGGAAAAAAGTTGAAATTAGAGCACACCGTGCTTATGTCCATTAGAGCGATACGTTGCGTTTCGCCATTTTCATTCATTCTAGTAAAGCGATAATTTTATACATGCTGAAATTAATGTTACCCTGCTTCATGTAAGTACATGTTGAAATAAAGGAAAAGTATGTATTCGAGCCTATTTTCATATAAAGTTGAGCGTTGTTAATACTAGTGAAGCTTTTTCTGTAGGCTGCTGTTGGCTGTCCGATCGATTCCTTAAACTTTGTTTAGTCCGAACGAATGGAACTATGTGACAGTCAGATGATGTTCAGTCGTCAAAATAGGCACGAATTAATACCATTGAACTGATTACAGGAGGGGAAAACTTACGACGGCGACGGCATCAGAGAAGAGGATATCGGCATCATATCCCCGTATAGGAGACAGGTTCTGAAAATTCGTGGGGTTCTCGCTGAACGCGGCTACACCAAAGTGACAATTGGTTCAACTGAAGAATTCCAGGGCCAAGAACGGTTGATAATGCTACTGTCAACCGTCCGATCGGATGCTGCTCAAGCATTTGATTCATTAAAGGGCCAAACGCTAGGTTTTCTCAGAAATGAAAAGGTTACATTGTCTTTCATTAGAATACCCTTGCCTATTTGCCCTACGTAATCTCGTTATATAGCAAAGCAAATATAGAATGTACTATTAAGTCGGAACAAACGGCTCCCTAACGTGCAATTCGCGCACAAAATCGATAAACAGCTCCACTAGTCGCTGCTTTTTCTCATATTCTATTATCGACTCTGTACTTTACTACTTTGGATCTTTCCAGAGATTCAACGTAGCGACGACCCGCGCAAAGGCCTTGCTCATCATTGTGGGCGACCCTAACGTGTTGAAGAAAGATTACTGCTGGCGAAACCTTCTTTATTACTGTCGTGACTTGAATGCTTGCCGCGGCGTAGCCTGGAATACCACAAAGAGACTATACGAGGATCTATATCAAAAGTTAGTACAACGATTGGTCTTAATTTGATGACGTTTGATCGAAACCAGATTGTTTTATTCCTATAATTTTATTCTGTAGTAATCAAATGGTGCCATAATATATATATGCGCAATTAGCTCATTGTCTGGTTAACCTATTTCATAGGTCATATTTTCCTATCCTAGCATATTGTATTGTAATGTCATCAGTAAGAAAGGGTTGTAGTTCTTGAAGGGTTTTAGGCAACAACGCGTTAATGAAATAAAGCTATCCATTGTTTATAATGTTGGCAAAATTCGTAGCCTTAGCTAATATGGACAAAAGTAGTGTACTCTTGTTAATTTTTTTTTGAGAACTGTAGTGCGGCAGATTTCTGTATGTATCATATAATTAGATCATACGTAGCTATTTAAATGCTGGATTACAGTCAAACTTGTTTTGCTCTTTAAAAATTTTAGCTCTAAAGATTCATAGAGACTAAGGAAATGCTAATAGCAAATATCCTTTAACATCAAAGCTTGAGGAGATATGGATGTTAAGCGCGTATTTTTTCTTTGTCTGTGTACAGAAACCATATTAGTGCACGTATTATTTGATTCGACGAAAAAAACCGAATTTCTTTTCGACCCGATTGAATTTCCAGCAGTGAAGCGTCTTGAAGGAAGTGTAGTATATTTGATATTTCTTTAACTGATTTCTTTATTTTTAGGATCGAAGCCCTGAACCTCGCACTAGGACTGGAAGAGTTTAAGGGACGGTCGTTTGCTTGTAATGGTCAAGTGGCCATCACAGATATGACTCTTCAAGAGGAGCCCCATTGGACCAATGAGGACTAATTTTTTTTTGCATAATGGTTCGCTTTCTTGTGTAATAAATGCATTTGTTTATGTGTAGAACTACTCTTTTTATCTCTTGTAATTAACATACTTAAATCGCTTCACTTACTTGGGCACATATAGCTACGCTAAAACAAAATGTCTTGTTATAGAATAAATATTAATATTTAATAATAATATAATAACTGGGTTTAATCCAGAAAAAATTACAACCATGTTATTATCGAAGTTACCGAAGTGAAAGTAAATTAATCGGTACCTATTCCATTACACAATGCAATCCGTTTATAATGTTTAGTTGTATGTATGCCCGCATGTTGTGTTGGAGTTCGTAAAACGCAATCCTTATGGTTGTTGCAGCTTTGAACTGAGGCGATGGTGCCATTCGGAGGCGCGCCGTTAAACACTAGCGGCCGCTGAAACCGCGGGTTTTGCAAATTGCACGGATTAAAAGATTATTATATGCATTATCTGGGACGTGTGCTCTTGATAATTACTATTTATCCTGTTAGAATGTATAACATGGTAGATGTGTGCCAAAAACGAAGGTGTTACCGAGATTCAAAATAAAAGCTACCCTTTTTCAAATACTTTTTAATTACTCAGCTTAAAGGGAATTGCCACACTGGAAATCTGTCGACTACAGCCACAAATGGAGAAAATTTTTTTTACCAGATAGCACATAATTTCATGTTGACGCATCTCCGTGCACATAATTTTTATCGGTGTTAGTGATAATACTTGGGTTACTATACAGAGAGAGAATTACGCAAGCACTTGGCAACGTTGTTTATATCGCAGCTTCTCACTAAGCCGTTGAGATGAGTTGATGATGAGTGAAGTATAAGGCTGTTACTCATTATTACTTGTTATTGTTTATTTTTTTAGCCATATATGCAACGTCAAATATTGCTCCGAGTTAATAGCAGTATTCAAAATTACCAGCAAATCATAGTCATGTAGGCAAGTAAGCACTTGGGACATTTTAACGAGATGTGGGTATTTTATGTAACGTAATAACGCCTTCCTACGGGGCTTGATTCGCGATAGCAAGCTATGGCGTTAAGCTTACTAATGTTATCTTGCTATGATAAAATTATTATTGAAATACTAAAAACGGCAAGCGTTAAAAATTATTTAATTCACCATATGTACCCTAAGTATGCTCGTATGACTAATTCTGTAGCACTTCAGGCAATCTGCAAAAACTACCACTGCAGCTACCAGCTGTTCAAATGTTCAGAAAAAAGGCAACTTCCATCTAATACAAGACCTAAATCATCTTTCTGACGGGGTATATATTTTTCGACTAAATTAAAGCTGATTTTTAGGTTCGATTTTGTTTAATATATTTTTGTTGATTCTTATTATTATTGTTATTGACTCCCACAGGGTACAATAAAATCTATAGGACCATTGCTGCTTAACACTAACTAGCATCGTCGTTTGAAGACCGATGATTAGAACGCACAGAAATTCAAGAAACACTCGGTAATAGGCCTACTAGATTACGATGTAATGATTTGAATTTTATGGAACTCCAAGCATTGCCAGATGTGCATTGTAATAAAGCAAGTCTGACAATACGATATTTATCTGCCCATTCGTTTTGAATATCAAAATGTAGGTAGGTACAGCGCAAGACATGAACCTAAAGTTACCAAACTCTAGTAGCGATACAGGTATCACTCACATTGGGAAAGATTTCTATTTCCAATCCGACTATTGGTACGTCCACGGCGATAGATTTACTCGAACCTTTTTGACATCGCTTGTGCCCTATCTGTTTCAAGAACGTAAGCATTAATTGGTTAAAAAAACGTCAAAAAATTAGTGATTTAATAAATGTATAGCTATGAAACGATACTATTCACAATTTATTAGTTTCCACATATCGAATCAGGCTAATTCAAATTGCATTCAGAATGGTTCATACTAAACATAGTTATCAGCGTCTTGAAATAATTTCTCGGTCACTGGCGACATATCCATCTCTAGGACTACCCTAAAATTGGTCGACTCTCCTGTACATTAATCGTAGTGAAGGCCGAAATAGTTTCAGCAAAGCCGCTCACGGGGGAGAAACTTTTGGATGGTTCTGTAGCCAATATTTTCAAATCTAGTACACCTATCATTTCCCTCTTATTCTAAAACGATAAATGGGAACCAAGTTGAAAATTGAGCTTTCATATCACTTTGGACGTAGTAAGATTATGCCAAGAGCATCGCATAAAACTCGCTGCAGTCACTCCGAAGCTACAGCTATTAAATGAGGCTTATTCTGCCTTGGCGAAATAAGTATGGCGTAAAAACTGAAGGAAGCGAAATATCCGTGGCAGCTTATCAATACTGAGTGTTAGACTTAACCGTGTGGTACAATCGATACAGCAAGATTGAGAGCTGGTTTTTTGGAACACCAGTTTGTGCTTCCATAAACAGGATCGTGTAGTTCTTAAATTATAAGTGGAATGTGAAACTTAACGGTACCTTACATTATTAACAGTTTTCCGGAATATGTAGCCAGAAAAAGAAGATGAATCAGACAAATAACGTCAAATCATTGACCATAAGTGATCCTCCCTTGAATAAAGCATTCATCCAGCGAACCTTCTCAGGATTCCTGATCGCTCAGAGTCAAGCCCAGCCATTATTATTATTAATAGTAAACGGTGTGATTTCTGTCATTATCTGTGGAGTTCAGCACAAACAGAGCCAAATATCATACTCAATAACCGTAGAAACGTACACGCAAAGCATAAGGGTGAAACGGTTCCTTAATGTCACCTGTGGTCCTTCTGAATTTCGAACGTTTAAGCATACCAAGCAACTTCACGAAACTACAGTTAAATTTCGTTTCCTCTCCTTAATAATCTATATCTAAATCAAATATGTTCAAATGGGACGCTCTGCATGTGTCTCCAGGTACGTCCAGTCGTTAAGTGTGCCATTTCGCCAACGATTCGACAAATTAATAACCGATTATTTCATCATAGTTTTTAAAACATTCAAATAAACTTGCTTGTTAACCAATACTTCTCCCTAAATTAAATATAGCAGCATAGTATCTCCTTTAATCAACACAGAACGTGGACACTGACGATAAATTGACCTTAATTTACCATGTGGACATCTGGATTGTGGACAAGGCAGCAGCCCTACCTGTATTGGACTTCTACATTCACAGTGAGTATTTTCTTGCAGCGGAATGCAAAAGACTCTTCCTAAGAGAATTTAAAAGAAAACGACAGAAACTGAAAACATTAATTTTATTGTTCATAGCGCGTCTCCCTCACTTTATGGCGTCATTAGCAGGATAACGATAATCATTTGATTTCCGTATGGTTTATTCGAGTAGCGATCTGATGCATTTTTAGACATCGACTTGGGCCTAAATACGATTTTATTCAAGACCTATTTAATTAACAGAATTTTTTAGAGCTATTGTATTTTACTAAAAATGTATATTATTTCGCGCGCACTTATTTTTGAACAAGGTATATGCCTAATTTTTATAAATTATGAAAAAATATAATATACGAATGAAGATGATAAATACAATACAATTTGTAGTTGTATGTTTTTATTATAAAAAAATTGAGCTTGAAGATGCATGTCTGCCCCCGTTTAAAGCCGTTTGTTAGAAGTAGGAGGGATCGGCCTGGAGATATGAACAGTAATGACCTCGTATCCACAGCCATATTCATTTGAAGGTCTACTAGCATGGTTTTACAATACGTGTAATGTGTCTATCTAATTATTCCTTCTATTAAGGACATTGGTTTCCAGGATTACGCAGGCATCATCATATCCGGAAGGCCACAGTTCAAAAACGTCATACTTAGTCAAAGTGGGGATTGGTGTAGTTCAAGATGTGTCTAAGTGCCTGACCTTTTCGTTTGTAGCACAATATACACTCCGTGAATGTCTAAAGAATGATAACTGAATTTCTTTCACGTTATGTTTGAAGAATAATCTTCACTAGTTTATTTGCTTTGTTGTAGTTTATTTGCTCATTTTGCTTTCGTGCGTGCAAATTTAAGTGAAGTAAAAAAAAATTGTTAATGCAATGCATCGCTGTTTTGGAATAGTTGGATTTCAAGAACCTGTAGATGAGCAAAAAAGCTGCTTCTGGAGGGAACATGCTATGCTTTATGAAGTTTTTACGCAATTTTACTTGGGGAATGATATCAAACTTGCAGCCTACCTATAACTTTACAAATTTGCATATAAAATAAACGCAGATTATTTTCAGTTTTTGATCATTTATTAATAATATAGCCTGCCATATAAAGTATCTATAACATTCTATTTGGTGCTAAGCCCCAGCGTTCAGGGAATTCATTTTTCAGACAAGCTTTGCATTAGCACTTTATCTGATAGGTATAAAATGTTAGTCATATTTTGACTCAAGCAAAGCTACTATTATAAGGCAGTTTTATGCAGGCGGCATGTTCGGATCTCGAGATTTCCGCAACACATTTTCACGGAGCCCTTTTCTATAAAAAGGAATCTCTATAGTAGATAGAAAATAAGGCATAACTAGAGGGCCCCATAGAAAGGCCACACATCGCGAGCGCGCGTACCCCGTGATTTGCTTAGTAATGCTTAATGAGATCAAGAGCCGGGAGTCTTAAGCAAAGATGTCGTTGCTAGGCGCTCCATCATATAGCTAACTGCCAGCGCAAAACTAGGTGTGGCTACACGCGGATGCGAACGTGTTCCTTTTCACAACGTATCCCTAAAATTAACACAAGAAATACGTTACCACGAACAGAAGTTGAGGGTCGGCAAAAAAACTTAACTCCGATGTAAACAATTTGCACGCAAAAGCTCAATTCCGATAAAAAGCTTGCGAAAATCAACTCTTTCTTATAAACAGCAAATAATAGAGTGGCATTAATGTTAGAAAGGTTTATTGACTAGTAAACTGGGCTTGACCGATTTAGCTTTTCTAGTTTTCACAATGGAAGCATGTATGTAAAAGGATTAGGTTTTTTCAGGCGGAAAGAGTTATCCTATTATATTTGCTGTACTTTTACTAATTTCTTGTGATTATTCAGAGAATTTTCTGAGGTATTTTGCTAGTTCAACGCGTTCTATATATATATCGAAAAGCTCTATCGATTTTGATTACTTGCGAATAGGTACGGCGCGACTCGATGGAATTCTATAATGAAAGCTTTATGTGCAGGATAGCTTACTTTTCGCGGAAACCTATAACTTCTCTGAGGACTTCGTGCTTACGTTAGCAGACAACTCTGTGAAGCGAGACTTGTTTACCTCACACATTTCGATCGTCAACCTTCAACTAATTTTGCAGCTTTGCGTGAAGGAAAACCTTCTACTAATTCACACATTTACAAATATATACCATTATCATACATAAAAGGCAGGGCAACCATTTTTTTTTTGTTAAGATACAAAGAATTTATTGTAGAACACTCCAACATCTATTAAATATTATATTTATATAAGCAAATTGTACATCTTTTTTGTCTTTTTCATTTTATTCTTTTAGGGTTGTTACTGCTACCTGATATTTTTTGTTATTACTATTAGTTATTTGTCTTCATTCTCCCAGTACGCTTTAGTTAAATGTGTTAACATGGATTTTCAATGTTTATTGACAAATCAGTAGAATCTAGCCTTTTCTTTTCTAATAGTTCTTTCCATCTATATCATTCATCATATTAGACGTCTATAAACATAAACCGATGTTTGAACCCTTTACTATTAGTGTCATTCGTTGGTTAAGTGGCAAGCGAGGTTGTATTGTTGATACAGGAGATGGGTCAAACAAAGGGACAGGTTGCCACCAAAACAATAATTGATAGCAGCAGTAACAACTGGCGAACAATCTGCAAGTGTTTTTCAGTCACCGGAACCACCTGCGGCGAAATATAAAAGTGCAGCCGTCAATTCGTCAGCTACCGAAATTGACACAAGACAGCAACTTCCCATTTTTAGTTATCCACCTGCCCGCAATTAGTCCATTCCAATCCACGACGCTACAGCGTCAACCATTTGTTTTGATGTCCTTCAGGACCATACATTTTCATATTCTCTAGGCATCCTCCATTGCGGCTCATGTTTACTATATTTAGACAGGTGCAATTGAATCTGTGGGTTTTCAATACGCGTTCTGTGTTAGAGATGCTCCTGCACGTCTGTATACTTGTTTTTGCATGTTTGTATGACTGTGTTTGTGTACAGAATTTAAAAATTCCCTACCTCCTTTTCTATTCGATGATTGCTATTGTTTCCGTTGTTGTTTTCAACATAGTTGATCTACGTCTATATAATTAATTAAGAGATGCTTGCCGACAAAGCTTGCTCTCGTTGACAAGACCAGTGCTAGCAAATCCCCGTCAGCAGCTTCGGTCTCTTCTATTCGTGTCCCGAGAAACACGAAATAGGTCGCACTGCTACACCAGTGTGTCCTATGACTAAACGAAAGACCATATGTGTTGCTGACGGAAGGAGAATAAATCGAGTAAATCGGCTCCTTACTTACTCGAAGATCGCCTTTTTAATTTTCGACAGGATTCCGTCGTCATCCTTGCCGTCCTCTTTCATCTTCTGCCCAGTCTCAGCTTCAGGCTTTGATCCGTCCTTCGGACTACCTTGGTTACTGCCAACGGTACCATATTTATTGCTGTGCTTGTCAACCTCGGCAAAGGCTTGCATTAGAGCCTTCATTTCGGGTGTAAGCGACGTTGGAACTTCGATTTTAATATTAACGTAATGATCACCACAGCCGCTAGTGTTTACTCGACGAAGGCCTTTCCCACTAATTCTAATTTTGGTGTGCGAAGATGTTCCGGGCTGGATACGGAGTCGAACGTCCTCGTAAATGCCGTGAACGTTAACGGTGCCCCCTAGCACGGCCTGTGTGATCGAGATGGGTACTTCCGAGTGGAGGTCAGCGCCATCTCGTCGAAATTGCCTCGACCGTGCCACTCGTAGCGTGACAAACAATTCCTTGTTTCCGACTACCATTCGAATTGTCTGACCATCTTCGACGCCTGCCGGAATTGGACACGTGACTTTCTTCCGCTGCACCGTTTGACCCTTACCAGCGCATTCTGTACATTTATGAGGGATGAAGACGCGCGTGCCGCCGCATTTTCGACACGTCGAGCGCATGACGAACGGTCCCGTTGAGATAGTTTCCATACCAGTGCCGTGGCAGAATTGGCAAGGCTGTGATTTCGTGCCGAGTTCGGCGCGCGAACCCGAACACTTGGGGCACGTATCAACAATATTAATTTGCATCTCTTTATTGATGCCGCGCGCTGCCTCTTCGAATGTCAGGTTGACAATCACCTCTTGCGCCTGCCCAAAACCAAATTGACTTTCCTCTGCACCGAATGGATCGAATCCATTTTTGTTACCACCCTGACCGCCAGCAAAGTCGCCAAATATTTTGCGAAACAACTCCTCAGGATCAATGTGCGATTGATAGGTATACTGTTGTTGGCCTCTGTCCGCTCCACCGAAACCAGCTCCCGGTCCACCACTGCCTGCACCGAAGCCGGTGCTACCCATACTAGCTGTGCCAAACTGGTCATACTGTTGCCGTTTACTCTCATCACTAAGCACCTCGTACGCCTCCGAAACCTCAGTAAACTTCTTCGCGGCATCCTTGTCTCCTTTATTTGTATCCGGATGGTATTTTTTGGCTAATTGATAATACGCTTTTTTGATATCCTTAGAACTTGCGTTACGCGGAACGCCAAGCACATCATAATAATCACGTTTTTCTAATATGCTACTGAGGTGGAAGCTCCTAGAAGATGATGCCGTGAAGCACGGATCGGAACACCATGACACACCGCGGGGTGCTACACTAGCTGAATAAGAAGTTACGACACTGCCAGATGTCTTCGTGCCTAATGACTGACTGGCTCGCCTCAATAGAGGCCTCAGAAGCATCGCGCAGATTTGTGTGCGACGCCAGATGCAAAAACCTCTTAGTGGTCGAATACCCCAAGAACAATACTTGATTGCACTTTGTTCGCGCAGCACGTTACGTTCTCAGACATTTGTGTTTACATGGCTAACATCTGAACAAAGTTATCGTCTGCTCTGCAATAACACCCGAACCGATGCCAATCTTATCTGTTATTATCCACTCCGTTCGGAATACTTTATTCTTGCTTTTCTGATGCGCAAGTTGTTTTGAATTACTTCGAGTAGCTGAGTGAATGTGTTTCTGATTATTACGTCGTTTTGCGCTGAACAACTAGAAAGAAAATCGACTTATCCTACTACAAACAGTCGTACGATATATCGGTTTATAGAAGGCAGCTTCACTGGGCTTGAAACTAGTGGCCAAATAACCCAATAAGCCAATGAAATAGTGACAGAAAATCCTGTGCCCAATTACCTTTACAAAAAAAGCGTAACACTGTTCGGGATATTTAATTTAAGCTCTATGTACGCGTACAGAAATTCAACATTAAAGAATTCAAAGAGGGAAGGGAGTGTACTTTCAAACTTGCCCGCGAAAAAAGATATTAACAACGAATCCTATCAGGATAGAAAAACGCCATGTGCCTAAAGCATAACGAATATGGATGACGGGGTCGCATCTCTACGCGATTGCTCTATTGGTCTAGGTAAGACGAACTTTTCATCAACTAAATAAAAAAAATTATGAATGCCATTCGAACGGTTCGTTCAATATATTTTGCTCCTACGTGTGATATCGGGTTAACTTTTAACTGTGGTAATTAGAGAATCACCAGTTAAATAAATTTAACATTTGGTTTTAATTTTTATATTAATAGTAGTCGATCTGAGCAGTTCAATATTTCATACTTGCATTTTTATTTCGAAAAAGTGCATATTTGCAAAGAGAGATTGTACATGTCGGTATTCAAACTAACTGTAAAAATTCGTAATTTTCGAGTTTCAATTTGTCCGCTGCCTTAACGAAGCACTTCTAAATGCCTGTTGTTTTCTTGTCTCTAGCTTTAGTAATAACAGTAATAATGTTCGAATCATTAAAGGAAAATCATAAATTTATTGAATATATAAATAAAAATAGCTCTAAACGCATGCATTGTGTAGATTTGGAACGTAAGTACATCGTAGTCTTAATTAGCTAATTTACCTAAATAGTGGACGAAAGCCTTCGAAGGCTCACTACACTCTTTAGCCGTGAACGGTATCAAATCATTACACGTATATTTAGGGAAGGGTAAACGAATTCGTTTTAAAATTTATTTGATCAACGGCAATTTCAATTTTATATTTTTTTGTCTCGTTGTTACTGCTTTCCGTTCTCTTTCAGCCCCCTCATTCAAGTTTGTTTTTATTCTCATTAATTATCAAACCCCAGTCCGTCACTGCAATCCTCTTCTATAATGACAACGTAGTTGTCATTACAGTGACGCACAGTACACGGTTCGGCATCTTCCATTCGATATTTTACTGTGGTTGAACTTCTATCGTTGCCGTCATTTGTGGCGTAATAGATCATCATCATAGATCATCAACTGATAATATTTTTTTCTCACCATCTTTTGTGGGCGTGAGAAACCCCTATACAATAAAAACGATTATTTCATAGACAGCGCGGGTTTTGCTTAATGATTTGGCTTTATTATTAAAATTCTTTCTGATGTATTATGACGAGCCAACGTCATTGCCATTGTACTAATAATCATACCCTTACCAAGGATAAACTTAAAAGAGAATAATGTCAACCGGTACTTGCCAAGGATTACCGATACCCGATTACTCAAAGCAGGTATCTTATCGAGCCAGTCGTTTTGAAGCGCAGTTCGTTGTCTATATTTTGCGAATTGGGGCTTCTAAATTACGCAACGACGACCTATACGGTTAGCCTCACAGGAATAAAGTTCTATGGCGCATAAACCAGATATAATCTCTTTCTTTATTCACACAAACATACATATATACCAGTATAACCAATAGTATGTCAAAAAATACCTATATCTCAATTTTAACTGCCGCTAGCACAATACAGGGTCCCGCTGTTCTGACACAATTTTCACTTATAACTCATAATTAAGCGCAGTCTTCTCGGTGGCTGTCTAGATTTGTCCTCTTCTGCGCCTTTTTATTGTTGTTGCTGGTCTTCACTGAATCAAGCATTTACGTTTTTAATTATTTATTTAATTATTAATCTATTTAATATGCATATATATATAATAATTAGTAATTATTTAATTGAAGTGAGCAGTACAATATATCAGCGTCATCTTATTATTCTACTCTTTCGATGCCTTTCACATTTCAGGCAGGTGTCCTCAGTGTACACCATGCATGCAATACAACATATTGATGTTATACCAGTTATTACCATATTTTACGTGGGAAGCAGTTCTAATGAAATAGGACCAAATGTTATTATACCGTATCTTCCCTTACTTGGCCTTTTATGCCAATTTGCTTTATCGAGTTTTCGTTTATATCATTGACATATTTTGATCCATTACAGGTCGTTCGAAGTCCATGTCCAACACCATGTCCGTCTTGGTATTTTATTCACTCTAAGTGAGTTTTCACTGCGACGTCCAATATCTCCACTTGTATGTCAATGTGTTTCATATATAAACGTCATCGCATACATGGGACTGCTTATCTGTATCGTAGTATGTCTCTGACAAAAAAACAATAGTAGCAACACAATGTTTTCATTATTTGTCTTTCTCAGTTTGATATTTTTGCTTATTAGTATATAATGTAATTAATATGGATTTGTTTCTGAAAACGAACGTCGGCGTTGTTTCGTCGACGCCAACCAGTTTGTGGTCTGAGGTTTTCGCTGTCTCAAAAGGTTTCAGTCGTCTTATTTGATCAACAATTAGTAATGGTTCTTAGACTTTTTCATAAGAATCATTAAAATAATCGTAAATGTCCATGTCGTAAATGAGATAAATGTAGCAACGCAGAAAAATCGGAGTTTCGCATCACCACTCAGCATAGGTTCATAGTTTCATAACAATCGTAGCAGTATCCGTCGTTACAGTAATCGAAATCTGCCAGTCATGACAAAAATCATTATCATCGTTATTGTCGCCACGATAAATAATAAATGTTTAATCCGCTGGTAATCGAGGAAAAGCAACGAAATTGAACTGAAGGAAATGTTGTCAATGCGGATAGGTAAAAAGTTTGTTTTACCATTTACCAAACTGAACTGCCTGTCAAACTAAACAAAAAGTGAGTCACACGAGACAGAGCTAGAAAATCGCTCATCTGAGCTATCGATAAACTTCAACACGTTGCAAGCCGTCACTCTGACTCTCGAAGACGGCACCTCACGCCCTCTTCCTCCCCATACTCCGTTGTTCTTTGATCAGAAAGAGGAAAAGTTCCCACATTTTTTTTCATCTTTACTACTAGCATATAAACGTAACTTATATTGATATCTGTAGTATGCATTATGTAAACTAAGGATGACCCAGATAAGCAAGCTAAAACGTAGAACAACTCATTGTGCTTATTCGAGTCGATTTGTGTTTGTTTTTTGTGTCGCTGCATAGACAAAAGAAAAGATGACCAACTCAGTGTGCCATGTTTATATGAAAATTAATAGAGCTTCCTTCGCGCCCTTCAATACCCCTTGGATATTTGTGAAAATGGGCCACGTACCCTTGGCTGAGTTTATGCGCGCCTTTTAACACCCAGCACTTAACACAAAATGAAAGTGGCCGCTCATATAGGATCGATAATGATTATACTTGTTGTCGATTAATTATAATATTGGTATAGTATAAAAGTGTATATAATGTAATCGATGTCGTCATTATCGTGGTATTAGTAGTTGTAATCTTGGATGCGATACGGTTCAAGTACCAACAGACTGATTGATTGATTGATTTCGAGATCAACAGCTTTGATCTATGGACGATCGCAGGCTTGTGTTTTTAGGTATCGAAATATAACAATATTTATTGCGTACCGATGCAAAAGAACAAAACTGTTGCGTCTTAAGTAGCTCGTCTTTTATAATCGGCGTTTGCTCGTCTGTTACAGGACGCTTGTTTTGCTGTAAGCAAAAAACGCGCAGCGCGTATGTGGTGCAGCCAGAGTCAATCAGCAAATAGAACAATCACAGCCACATCTACCATTATTATTGTCAATGACCATTGACTGGTAATATTTTATGATTATATTCTTAGCGATTATTCTTCCTCACTTACGAACCAATCTCCTTGTCTTCCATTCACCAGACGCTTCTTCAGTGAGTACTAGTTGTTCGTTATCAGTCAATACATCCGCGGCGCTAATAATATTGCTACAAAAAATTACAGTTACTGATTTTTTATATTATGAAGTATAGTAAGAGTTGGTGGTTAATTCGTATACGCTAAGATCATAATCGATCGATCCCAGACACTGATCCTACGTCGTCGATAGGAAGGTTGATCAATGATTTGCTGGTCAGAATCCTTTTATCATAGAGAATCAATGGGACACGACGGCTGAGCCTCCGCTGGTGTCATTGATGTGCTATCATGCTCAGATTTTGTAGAAGACTATAGCATTGTCGCAAGTGCAAAGTGTCGATCAATCGGCTCTTGCACCGCACCATTAATGAAGCCGTTATCATTATTATTGCTGATACTAATTAATATGAATTATTTCAATTGCTATTCAAGCCATCGCAGCAATGACTTGACTGACCGCTAGCTTAATTGTCCGCTCACAATCAGCAAACTGCTATTGCATGATTATTATTTAGCACTATCTTGCGATAATCAGCTATTCAGGATAGGAGTGTTTACGTGTGTCTGTCTGTGTATGTGACTTTAATTAAGACAAATCTGTGTATAGTTTTGCGTAGCAATATTCCTTTACGTCATAGCTTTTTGTACGTATAAGCAAAGATATTATTAATGCTATTATAATAATTCGTTTGACGATAGGTAATCATAAAGCTGTTATGGTAATTACTAATTAATTATTCACAGTATATGGTGGTAATACGTAACTAATTACAGAATAGCTGATGATCTCGTAAAATCTGCCATCATTGTTATGCTTATACTCTTTGTTGCCTTTTTTATTAATTTTTAGCTTTCATGCCGATATTACGTGCGGTCGATTTAATGAACTTTAATTAATTTAGGAGAAGAAACGCGATGTTTTTAACTTAGAATCCGTTACTTGCGAAGCTGTCAAGCACAAACGGAGCGCAGACCGAAAGCTAAGGAGTACGTTGTCCCTATCGATGTGATCATAGTTTGTTGTGGCTGTTGTTGTTATAGCTGTGACTGTTGTATTGTGGTTACTACAGTTGCTCAAGCCGCTCTTAGCGTAATTACAGTTGTCATTATCGATGTTCTTGTGTTTGCGCTCGTTGCTCTGAACGAACGATGTCGACGACGGATTGGCCGTAGCCTCTCCTGTCAAGACGGGCCATGCTATCGTCGGCTTTAGCAACTTCGTCGTAGCAGACGTGCTATTCTTGTTTCTGTTGAACTCGTAGTAACTGCTGTTGTTATTGTTGTTGTTAGAGTAGACGATATTCAAGTCGTTATTATTGTTTCCGTTTCTGCTTCTGCTTTTGCTAGTCATAGATGTGTTGTTGTCGTTCCACCGGGGCTGAGATGGCCTCTGCGGAGGAGACGGGCGGTCCGCGAGGACCGGCTCCCTTTGTCACATAAATGCCATAGGGCGACGGGACACCCAGGCCTGACAAGTGGCCACCGAGGTCGTATTAGCGCTCGAGGTCATAAGATTGTTGTCGTTATTGCTGCTGTTGTTGTCTGTAATGTCAGGGGGTTCACCGTTTGTCGGATCCTCAGCCTCGTCCGTCTCCATGGAGACAACCACGTTCTCCCAGACCAAGCAATTGTTGTTTGTCGCATCATCCGGATATCCTATCTGTAAGACGCATGTCGCACGGCCGCGGGAAAGAGCAAAAAAAAAAGGAGATTATGTATGAGGGACCACTACCTGTTTTACTCGAATATTCTTTTAGTACATTTAAATCTTACTAATTAATTTCAAATACGCAGCTGTGGAATCTCAGTAAAGATCCACTAGTATAGATAGACTCAAAACAATCTTTCTTGCACCGGTGTACTATGGTCGACGCGATGGACCGGTATATAAAAAGAAGGCGGTAGAAAGTATCTAGGATACTGAAACGCGGCACTCACTAAGTTCTTGTTGGTCATCTTCCTTTTGGCCGCGGCGCCGTGAGGCGAGTCATTCCGCACCCGGATGGATCCGCGCGGCATGCCGGGGCTACTGCTGTCCGTGGCGACCGCTGAACTTTGCCTTCCGAATAAATATACGAAACTAAGTTGATTTGGTCGTCTTTACAAGCTTGTTGAAGACTTTATCGTTTAAGCGTAACAATAAATAGACGGTTATAAAAACGCAAAACACTTCTCAAATAACCTTGTTTGACAGCTATCGCGTAGATGTTTGTAACCTAACAATTTAACTATATTCTTATTAAATTAATCTATTGGGGCTAACTATAAATGTAGTAGGAACTTGAAACATAGATGCAGAATCTAGAATACACGAAATGATTGGTGATACGTATACTTCCGTAATTCTAAACCCGTCCTCATATTACGTTTGCAACGGTCTTATCCTGGCTAATCAGTTATTAAGGTTATTAATTACTCGACACAAACTTAATTTGTATCATAATGCCTAGCTATGCTGCCAACGACTTCTTTGTATAAGTAATTTACTCCTAGTAATGAAACGCACGGCTTGCCTACAATATTAATGTATAAGTTAAACTCATATTTGAGCAACGTCGATCAAAATAATCATTTTGGTTATAATTATTGTTTAATCAAAGCCCTTAGACCCGTTAGTATTTTGAAGATAAAAACTTACGCAATTCATATAAATGGTGGACAACATTTATTCGAAAGATCTTCAAGGTGTATTGAGTTTATGACGCAGGTTGAAGCAAATAAATAAGTACTACCAAATGTCAACGATGCGTTTTCCGTAACGATCGATAACACGTGAAAACATTAGTACGCCTTTGCTTGTAGTTAGTCTCATCATTGACTTGATATGTATTTTCTTTTTTGACATCAACTTTTTTTTTATGTAGGCCGATAAGCGTTTAGAGCGTTTAGAAAAGCGGAGACTGACAAGATGTCTTTAATCGTATAGCGCTCTAGTGAAGTTTCATTGAGATTTGAATAAAGCGAATTTATTTATTTTCTATTAATTCCCACTTAAAGAGCAGTCTTAAACTACGACCCAATGACTTTAGTTTCTTATTTAATATACGAAAAAATTATTTTCATAATTGTTTCGAGCTGTACATAGTATTCCGTCTTACATTTGTATTGCCATGAAATTACCAGCTCTTTGTTCATTATTTCTATAAACCCTTCAACCGTGCTATCCTAACATTAACAACGTATTCCACTCCGCGAGAATCTTACAACTAGTTGGCATATTCGACTCCGCTCGACGTGTCCACGCTCGACAGTCATCCCACTGATTCTTCTCTCGTTGGCCAAAACAAACGAAGCAGCGCGAAATACATTCAGGACAGCTTTAGTAACTTAGTACGGACTATAATTATTGTTCTTGTATTGAGGTCGTATATATTTTTATATATATATATTACACTTGTTTTACAAAGACGTCCTGTATTGATTTGCGCTGCCACCACACATCATAACAAACACACAAAATGTGCACTTCTTCTTGTTAACATTGGAACTTGGTTTGTTTGTGGTCTGTGTGTGTCGCTTGTTCACCTGCTGTTGCTGAGGGCGTTGAGTTTACTAGCGCCCGGCAGTCATTCGACAACACGCAGGACCTTTCCAATGGCGATTGTGCGACCCTCGTCACGCAGCGTGAAGCGGCCCATTTGCGGGAACAATTTGAACGGCTCGACGCACACGACGCCGGCAGTTTCCAACCGCATAACGGCGACCTGGTCCTGTTTGACGAATCGGGGCCGCATTTGGCCCTTTTCGCCAGTCTTGCGGTCGATCAAACAGATGATCTGTCGAACTGAACACTCTTCGATGGCGGCATGAATATGGAGCACGCACGAATAGCCTGGACAGATGATGGACTTGTGCTCAAGGATTACGACCTGTGCATCAAAGACCTTAGCCACCTTGCAGGGCCGCTCCACCTCGCAGAGCACGAAGCCTGGCGAGACTTCTTCTTCCTCAAGGCCCTTTAGTTTCACCTTGACATTCTCACCGGATTTTACCTGTTGGACTTCGTCCTCATCACTCCAAAGTTGCAACACCTCGACGACCTTGCGGTTAGGCATTAGCAGTAGTGGATCTGAGCGATCGCACATGCCTGACTCGACTTTGCCGAAGCAAACAGTGCCCATATCCTTATATCTATCAACGACAGGCATGACGAACGGGCCATCTAGGTATCGGTCGATCGGTTTCAACTGATCGATATATGGGAGAAAGCAGGGGCCAGTGTACCACGAGCATTCCGAGGCTGGCGCCGGATCTTTAAGTCCGGCTCCGCTCAAGCCCGAGCAAGGCATAAAGATCAGCTCTGTCTTCGGGTTGAAACCACATTTCTTGAGATAAGGAAGGAGCTTGTCCCGGCACTCATTGAACCGCTCCTCGGACCAGTTAACGGTAGAATCATCCATTTTGTTAATGAGCACGATCAGATGCTTGACACCGGCAGTCTTGGCGAGCATAGCATGCTCCCTCGTCTGACCTCCTCGTTCGAAGCCAGTTTCGAATTCACCCTTACGAGCTGAGATCACCAGGACTGCGATGTCAGCCTGGCATGCTCCGCCGATCATATTTGGAACGAACGATCTGTGGCCTGGTGCATCCAGCAATGTGAAGTGCTTGTTTTCTGTCTCAAAGTATGCGCGACCGCATTCGACTGTCTTGCCTGAAACGCGAAATCGAGGCACAACAAAGGCTCGTGAAAATACAATGTCAGCTCAGCTGGAAGCAGAAATAAGTAGAAGCCGGACTTCACACTGATTTCAAAGACCATAAGTTAAACCGCATATGTGTGGTGTCAAATGTTGAAAAGAAAAACTTTTTTTGCCGATGTGACCTTTCACTAAAACTGTGTCTATGAGTTTAATATGCATCACACTGTAATCAAGTTGATAGATTAATAATAAAACACGTTGCAGACGGGTCTTCCTCGTACAATGCTTTCATAAGCAGATATTCGTTCTTACCTTTGTCACGCTCCTCTTGGTTTGTGTCCAGAGCCCAAGACAGGTACCAACTCTCACGATTTTTCTCCTTAGCTTCGCGTTCATATTTTTCCAGAGTTCGTTTGTCAACCATGCCTGTGAGGAAAAGTAGTTGGCCACCAAGCGTACTCTTGCCAGCATCTACGTGCCCGATGAATACGATGTTTAGATGCTCTTTTCGGGGGCCCTCCTCTATTTTCTTCTTCTCCTTCTTGACCTTTGGAACTTCTTCCTCATCGGGAGTACCACCCTCCTCAGGGCTAGCGCCTTGTAACGACCCTGCTGAACGTGATGGGGACGGCGTGCTTTCCGTATCGGCGGTCACGCATTCCCAATCCGCAGGTGGCTCCTCAGCATTGTTGTTCGTCTCAGACACTGGCGAGTCTTTATCGCCAGTGACGTTGATTACAGACTGATGATTAGAAGTAAAAGGAATCGCGCAATGAAATCAGAATAAAGAAGAAAAACATAATCAACCTAATGAATCTTCTAAGATGGCATTTAAACATGAAACTAGTGATTAAAATTCATTTGTTCTATAATAATGCACAAACGCTCGTAGAGATAAATGTAAGATAACAAATAATATCTGCACAATCTGAAGCTAATATGAGGATAAGTGAGTTCGTGAGTATGAATATGAGATAAGGGAAAATATATTTATCCTTTATTGTTCGCCTATCTAACTGACATATATCTGTATAGCTATTAGGGGCTGTATTCCCACAAGCAATGTATGGACAAGGTTGTGGAATAGGTTTGAGTCACATGCGAATGATAGAGCCAATAACAATATTTTTTAGAAATCGGACCGACTAGGGTACTAATATTACTTGGCATCTCTACTTTTTGTTATAGGCAATAAATAAAGGCTACACATATAGCACCACTGGTTTATATATAGGTTTTTGTACCTTTAAGTCTAATGCCACAAATTGTAATCTCAACTGTTGGTCTAATTTCCGTATCGCCAAACATCAAAAAAGTATTTCCATGCTTAGAAGTGTGCCCCACGCTCAATAAACTAATTATGTAAGACGTACATATAGGTTAGTTTGATATATATAAAAATGTATCAGACAAAATAAACTCATATAACTGTTTGTTAGCGCTCATTCGTTTCCGATTACCTTTCTTTGGTACCACTCGCTCTTTGGATCAAATTTTTTCGGGTAGTTGTGCATTCAAGCTGAACTTAATTTGATTCCATGTTCATATAATCGCTATTACAGTAGTCGCAAGTATCTGATTAAATCGCACGGCATTTCTCCAACAGAAACAGTATGTGCCACAAATTGTACTAAATTTCAATTAGTTCTAACTTTTGTTGAAGATGTGCACATCGAATTACGGTTACAAGTTACTAGTAGCGTGCACAGTGTCACTCAGCTAGCAAGCTAATATCAGGCCGTAAAAAATTTAGGTACACGATTTGCCCGCGTCTTGACGGCTTGTGCACACCGATGAGCGGTCAACAATGGACATTTGGTTCAAAGGGAAAAAATTACCCCTGGCAGATTGGGCATACAAACTGCCACATGTTAGGAGGGCTGCTGCGTTGTATTCTATTATACACGTGCCAGCACTACGACTGATTGCTTGACAAATCGTAAAACAAAAACCATCAAATGGAGTCACACTGTCACTTTGTCACGCACATATGCGAATCGATAAAGATCGACAACTAAACGGTCATCTACCACGCGAAAAAAAAACATGAGAAAAAACCTTCGTGATCTTTCGAGTCCCTTGCCAACTCCTCTAAAAGTGGTTGGGCACCACCACAACCCCCAACTCGCCCTCCAGTCGTCATACACGGAGCAGGAAACCCCTCCTAACGTCCCAATCATTCCCCACCACCAATGGATCAGAATGTTCCAGCTCTGACTGTACGGTCGCAGCCAGTGATCTCTCACTACCGCACCAACTCGTCTAGGTTCTATTACCCTCCTCACGTCCTCGAGGGACAAATCAGCTTTTCCTGTTTTAAAAGAACCCTTTCCTTCTTTTTTTATTAATAGCCAACGTCGGTTTTTCCAACAACAATAGCCTCAGCGCCATCAATACCACGTTCACAAAAGTTGCGATTCGACACGGACGTGTCTCGTCGGCTGATCTCTAAGGTGCCTTCTTGTTCACGAGTGCAACGCAATATCCATGTGCGTATATGGCGATTTGACGGACAAACAATTTCCGGAAGGAAAATAGGACCCGCTATGCTAAAATTGTAGTAATGATGTTTGATCAAAATTGAAATGGCTCGTAAGCTATAGAAACTAAAAAAAAAACAGACATGCGAAACGGCCTTAAAAAAAGCTGACGATTTTTTCCAGGTTTTTCCCATAAAGATGTTAATGCAAATGAGACGTACTGGAAGGTAGCTCTTAAATTCACTGTAAACACGTACTATTACATATTAGACTTTACCAGATTAAACATTATCAGTTAATTAAAATAATGTTCATAATAGTAAAGATTAATATTACTTACATTAGTTCTATTTAATAACAGAATTTTACAAATAAAGATTTTGTTCAGAAAGATATAATATCGTTTCTCATTATTTTTGTATTGAATATGGTAATCCGCTAAGACTTTACCCCGTTTAGTAAGAATTGTGAACATACAAAAGGTAAAAACGCGGTTATCATCACGACTATTACTGGCAAAATGATAAAAATTTGAAGTGAAAACGCACGTCAAATCTATAGCGGCCAAAGGCCAAAAGCCATATGGTGCACTAACCACCATGCATTTTTGTTGACGCACCGGTAAACACTGGCATAGTTTCATCGAAGTTACGCAATCACTACGATTTGGCGAAACATTTGAACGAAACGAAGCAAATTATATTACCATATCATGAGTAGAAACAAGTAGCAATATCGCAGTCAGAAAGGGTTGTTCATAAATCATGAAATCGCTGGTATCAGATATTAGATGTATTATTGATTTAGCAATCCGATTATGTACCAAAAATCTAACAACATTTTGCGGCATTCTAGAGTAGTGTCTATATGTATATATATATATATATCATCATAGAGCCACCGTTTCTAAAACAGCTCCTCCAGTTAGCTATGCTCTATCGTGAACACTCCCTTTTTAGGTCACCATTTCTTCTATTGCAGCTATGTACCACACCGGCCACGAGATAACAGACCCAAGGCGCTGGCGGTGATAAACCAACCATAGCAAAAGGCCGGTGAGTAGATACCCTACGACACAGCACAATGCCCACAGGATCTTGTTTGTGGGTTTGTTCCTTTTAGCGGTTGCAGACTACGCCCGGCCTGACTCTTGCCAGCTATGGCAATCAATGAGTTGTATTTGTTGAATATGCGACATGATGGCTCCAAATATTCAAAAGCAATTTAACCTGCCATTGATCCAGCAAGCACCGATTCCGGAAAAAGAAGATGAATTTCCAACCATACCTTTACCACTACTCTGTACTAGAAAGGCAGCGTATCAGAGGACATTGATGATCTGCCTCAACTGTCCATAGGTTCACTTATTTTCTGTTGTTTACAGTTTCACCAATTTCTACTGACCTGAACAAGGGTTGATGCAGGCTGGGTCTGGGTACCTCCGCCGCCACCTGCGGCCGGCATGAATGAGGGCACAAACACTGGGGCGTCGACATTCAACTTAGTGAACTGCCCGCTCAGTTTGTCGTCGTCCCAGGTTGTCTCGGCGCCGGGCTGTTCCATCGCGGTGGTCGAGATGATGTTGTCGCCGTCGGCAATGCTCCAGGCCGCTGCTGCCGAGACTTCTGGGGAGAAAGCGGGTATTGGCCGTTCGACGTCGTCTTACAGGCTGTACGGAATGTCGTGCCTGAGACGCTGAGCTTCGGTTGGTCTAATAATAGAATTACTAACGATAAGATAACAAAATGACGAGCAATGATCGGCGGCAGCAGCAGCAACACGGAAGATGGTGATCAGAAACTTCTCTTCCTACAACTGCAGATGTTATCACGTTGCTTCGCTGCAGTTACGTTGAATGCTGGGGAGCAGGGACAGAACTGTGGGAAGAGGTTGGGAGGGGAAGAACTCAATCGTGTCTACCACACCGCGACACAAAAAAGTAGGGGCAGGAAAAAGTAGAATTTGGTCAAGAGTGAGGAAATTAACCTTTGTTTGGCACCTCTCCTCGCCCAACTGCTGTTCGTGTTCTATAGCGTTCCAGGCTGCCGGCTCTCGAAAGATGGAAGGACGCAACAACGACAAGATAACCTAGCAAAAGATTGAGATGATATACTAATAATAACAAACGAACAAAAAAGACGAGATTTTGTAGAAAATCGGCCTTAACGTCGGCTACGTTGCTAACGACGACACGGCGGCGGCGGCGGCGGCAGGGACGATGCCAGCAATGATCACGAGATAATAAACAACAACTATTGTCACTGCGGTCACATGTAACCAATCAGCCAAACAAGCACTGCCGTTGGTGTAACTGTAGCTAGTAGCCGAGTCTCACGTAGCTTGCCTAGCCGCTGACCAGCCACCAGCGTATGTTTGTCGCAGTTGTTGATCACCGATCGTAACAGCACTCGTCGTCGAATCGTGTTTCGTCTCAAGCGAGCACATACGAACGACACGTTACGAACGGTGTACAATACATAGAGCCGATGATCACAATCGCTGTGTATTAGTGCTGGCTGTCGCTGTTCCTACGCTCGGTTTCGTTTCTGCCAAATCCTTGCAGCTGCTGCCTCTGGACGATCGTTCCTGCTGCCACACTGCAGCAGTTATCGTTACTACCACCGCCGCTGCTGCTGACATAGAAAGATGGCCGTCCTTTGCTCTAACTCACGCACACGCCGTCAGCACCGCTACGGACACAGTGACTAGACGACGACAACCGCGGCGGCTAACCCCGCTGCTACTTGTTTGGTCGCGAAGGCTCGACTCGGTCTGCTCTGCTGCCGCTTTTTGTTTGCCTCTGTCCGCCGCATCTGCGGCTGCTTGCAGTAACAGTCAAACCAATATTGTCTACTCACCACCTCGTGTGTAAGCTGCCACTTCCGGACAGTGAACTCAAGATAAAACGAAACATGCGACGGAGAGAATAGGCGAACGGGCCGATTCCGCCGCAGGCCACTAGCAGAATACAAAACAACACAACATATTGGCAGAAAGGCAGATGGTTGTGGGCAGTGTCTCGCTGAATCCACCAATTGACGGAGGGCGGGCCAGGGCGATACTTTGAAACGAAACCGGAACCCGCGCTATTGCCGACGAGAAACCGTACCAATATAATATATATGCATATAGGGGTCAACGTTGTCCTTCATTAGGCAGCGTCGTCTTATAAAGGACACTGTCGACAGATGATGTACTGATAGAAAGACACAATAAAATAGGACGGCTTACCGACAACACAATACAGTTATGAGGCCACAGGGCAAGATGTTTAAATAAACGTGCATGGATTGAGCAAACTTGGCGAAAATAGACGGGCGCGCTCGTTTAAGTGTAGGAAAACTTCTAGGACAGGGAGTTCGGTTTTATAATGAGAAAAGGTGGACTAATATTGTTGAGGTATTTACGAAGTTTTGTAAAAAAAAGGAAATATGCGAGAACCTTACGACTGTGTCAATGCAGTTGTCATTGCGTTCGTACACATGCCCCAATCATATCTTTACGTTGTCATTGATTTTAGATTTCTACTTGATTGTGGATTTTCAAGAAACTAGTGTGACTCGTAATGTTTGTATTTGGCAATTTTTATTTATAAGGAATTTGCATTATCATAAGAATAAAATTAAGAGTAACACCTCATTGGAAATGTCAAAGGTTACCTTTAGCGGTTCCTCTGTAAATGAAACAAGCGTCTACTAATGGTACAAGTGTTTTCAACGGAGCCTTGAAGGAGTCGAAGACAACAATTGCCCTGAACGTCTTAACATACCAACTGACAACAAAGTCCAAAAGTAAGAGAAATAGATAGAGGCAACCGCCAAATCACTCTCAGGATTTCTTGATTATGTTGAAATACCTCATTTGATTCATGCTATGTTTTTCAAATATTATGAGAATTCTGACTAGATGGATGACTTTGAATTTCCAAGAATGCACGTGTTTAAAATAACCAAGAAGTACAAAAGGCACAAGAAGTCTCAGAAAGACCAAGTGTTTGAGCTTATCTGAACGACTGATAATTGATATGTTTCTCTTTAAATTTCTGTATTGAAAATGGTCGTTCCGGTTACTCAGATAGTTTTCCGAGCGTTTCAAATCTATTGAAAATGTTTCGCTTTACCTCATAGAGATACTTTTCGGATTTTTCGCGCCATGAGAGGTTTACTTTCGCGCCCTAAAAAGAACACACTTTTTCCTAACACGAACAATCGTGAGTTAACGTATAAACGCTTGTTACGACAAGTAACCTGTCAGTAAACTAAATACCTCACACTGCATGTATATAAAGTTATATGTACAAATTTAGTTCATTAAAAATTTAGGTCCTAGCACTCTAAGTATGTATGTAATGTAAGAGCTGCCTATGAGCTAGCCAGATCGTGTTGTCCAAAGGTTCAAAATAAAACACCGATACACTTCATTAACAATGTTCAACGGTAGTACCGGATATAAAACTCGAAATCTTCGTTAGACTACGTTGCTTTTTTCCTAATCAGAGAGCTATCTCAATGCCAATCTACTGGACCAACATCCGTCCAGACTACTAACCGTTAATCTCTTCGCAGGAGGTTTAGCAGTAAAAAGCTGTGGGGTACCAAAGCGGAGTACAAGTTGTATAGCGTCACTTTCAAAACAAATCTCATCTCTCGAGAGAAGATTATTATAATTCAATGAACAATGTAAATTTAAAGTAAGATTGCGAAATGAACATACGACTTGAAGACGTTCCATAGAGATAAAATATATGTTAACACTAATTGGGGTTAAATTAAATAATCTTAACTCAATAACTGGAGACAAGGTTAGCTGATAATGACAATAATTAATTAACGATTCCCGTTAGTGTAAGAGTATATACAGCGCTTGAATTTCTGGGGGATTCTCATTAAATATCAATGCACAAAGTGGGAAAACATTTATTAGGAGAAGCGTGAAAGACAAATTCGCAAAATTTTACTGAAGTACTTCTATACGAGGATTCAGCGTGCACGTCTAATAGGAATAAAGTGCCTATTAGATGCACATTGAAAGCTAGTACTCTATAATATAATATTTCAAAGTAAGAGTGAGTTCTGACAAACGGAAGGAAAATACTGGCCAATAGTTAATATGCTCATACGAATAGAAGCAAAGGTGGTTTGGAGCAAAAACGGTAAAAAAAACTACCACCTTCCGAATTAACTGCAATATCTCGGCAAACTTAGAAACGGAAGCTTTGATAGCGAATCGAGATGGTCCGTTAGTTGGAGCCCGTCGTGCCCCCATATTGACGTAAACTTTTCGCGAGTGGCACAATACATTTGAATAAAAAGAACACATCAAAAAATAGCCCAACCATCCGGAAATGTAAATGATTAAGCACGAATGATTAAATAAATGACTCGCTAGCCTCGCTTTATTTTGTGTGTTTTTTGCAGCTATGGAAAAATAGGTGCTTCAGTTAGAAGGCAGATAGTGAGTGGAGCAAACTTCATAGGTACAGGAAAACACACGTATGAGCACTGTCCTTTCAGAGCTACCTGCTTACGTTAGAAGTGCTAATTAATAATAGCAATTTCGTCACGTGTTGAGCAGGGTCAATAACACGATAAGAAAGTTGACCTAATCTTAGTGCAATGACATTGTTCTTCTGATTGACTTCATTACGCTCGAACTCTGCTATACGATAATGTAAATGCGTAACTCTTTCCAGATGAACAGCGTCTTGATATCTTATGCACCTGACGTATGCACATCTTCCGCCGAGTGACCAAATATGGTGTTCTATGTTTATGTAAGAAATAATGTGCGAGACCGTATAGCAAAACCACGGAGGCAAAGCTGCGTGCTCACGTTGGTCTCCGTTTCTGGCGAGTGGCATTAATTACATATTTTGTATTCCAGTAAAACGAAAATTCACTTAATAAATCAATAGGATCCATTGCACACGACGGCATGGATTCGATTTTTACGAAATCAAAAGGTACCGTTGATACCTGAGGTGAGTTTGTCTCAGATTTGTCATTAGGGAGAACAGCGAACAGTGATGTAATCTATGAAAAAAAAAATGTAAGACTCTATTCCGTAAGCACTAACCATATGCGTCTGTAATATGTGGCAAAGATATTGAACCTTCCAGCGCAATAGTTTGATCGACCGAAGGTGTCTATTTCTAAATCTAAATATAGGAAGTGTTAGTTGTTGAAGCTAACTGCATGCCGAACAAATATTACGTGTTTTAAAATAATGAAATTCTTTATTAATTAAATTTGTTCTCTTATGTTAATACTAGAATATGTTTTATTTAGTTAATCAGGCTTGCCATATAGTACATGTTCAATGGTAATACTGGCACGCTTAGAGTAGAATAAGTAACAGTTTGAAGGTTATGATACTATGTTGAAATATTACGTTGTTCCAGCTGTACCCAGGCGAGCCTGAAGACCTAAGTTCTTAATAATAGGGCGATGGTTAGTCGGTGTAGTATTCCGCTCTAATGAGCTCTATGTTAGCTCTGAAAGTATGTGCCGACTGTGCCTTTGTGTACATGGTTTGCTCACAAATGGAAATATTATTTAGATGAATTCGTCATCAGATTTCATTCAAATAAGACAGTTGGACTAAAAGGTTATTTGCATGGTAGACGATAATGAAATATATACATTTTGTGCATAGAATAAAGTTGTAGGAACTACTTCTCTTTTATTATTCGACTCTGCCAAGCTTCGACATTGATGTACAAATTTCAAGCCGATTTACAGGCGACTTTTTAGGCTTAGAAGTTTTAGTGATCATCGCTCGTTTCTTTAATAGTATGTCTTTTTTTTTTTTCTATTACAACAGATAGTTACTATTGTAATAGTGTAGCATATGAGTGCTCTTTCTGCAGGTACCAATGATAGGTGCCTCGAAGACAATAGGTAGGATTGCCTCATCGTCCGACGTTGTTGATGAAAAATCTTAGAAGAAGAAGCGCTTCAGATGACCTTCTCAAGCAGTACGTCAACTATATCGGAACTATACAGGTTACCTTCGCAAAAGGCGAAAGATATTTATTAAAGAATAGAAACTCAACTAGCTGTTTTCTGAATTGTTAACGCTGTCGATCCAAAAAAAAAGGGGGTCAAAATATAAAAAAATCTTACTATCTTAGTATTTGTATAGAACTATAAAGTCGTATCTGTATGTCAAGACTGGGAATTTACACTATAATGGGTCTAATTCTATACAGCGTATTCCTTTATGGCGATTTATCGCGAAATAGATTTATGGTGATATGTAACATCTATGTGGCCCATATAAAATGATGCGATTAAATAGTGTCAAATAGGTACGATAGGAGGTGAAAAATACTTTTCTTGGTTCGATTCAATTATTAATAAATTCGCTTATTCAACGTATAAACAAATCTGCCTAGAGTCACTCACACCAAAAACTGCTTGAAAAAAGAAATGCTTGCATAGTACGGAGATTCATGTGATGTTTCATATAGTTCAAGGTAAACAGATTTGGTAGAATTAATTATATTTCAAGCACGCAATCACTTTCACAATTCAGTATCTAGCGATAAATATATTGATAAAGCTTGAAAAATAACAATCTGAGTCTATAGCTGGTAACGCTTCAGAATTTCCCAAAGAAGATAGCGTTGGCTTGCGGCAACTTTTCTGAATAATTTCCCACTCAAAGGTTGATACCCTTTCATACCGGTTTACAAGCTAGAGTTTTTGAGCGAGCTTGGTATGTTTGATGTTCTCATTCAGTCACATTCAAGTCGATAAGTTACCCAGATATGGATTCATTGAATGTTTTTTTTTTTAGTAAAATACTAAATAACTTCTTAGGAAACCACTTTATCGTTTTGCTAAGTTATACATACTATATTTCATACGAAGTTGAAACTCTTATTTTTTTAGCCTGAATAAAGCAAACGATAAAGACCCTTTACCAGCTTAGACTAAAAATTTGTCTTCTTCTATTTACAGCATCATAGTGACGTGTAGAAGATAAGCGATTATTGTAAACATAAGAGGTAAGCCAATAATTTATTATTTTGTCATAAAGCAATGGTCTGTGGACTTTGTGGGCTACTCGCCTCGGTCTCCTTGCCTAATTATAAAATAATGGAAACGTCATGTGAGTAACTGTAGCTGTTATGGGATACTTGATTGTTGGGGCATCGTCTTGTTTTTTATTTATTTATTTTTTTTTTTATTTTACAACGAGTGACAAGCTGCTACAAATAGAAAGTCGACAAAACTTATGTCGTGTAAATGGCGCACATTCTATAGCATCAAAAACAGTATCCTATATATATTATATTTGCGTATAAAGCTAACCTTGTACCACAACCTATAACGATAGGTTATTGCTTTATACTGTCTACCTTTTCTCACATCTATTGCCACCGGCTGATTTGTTCGCATACGAAATTCGAGGATCTGCGATGCGCAAAATGTTCAATTTCAAAACATATTGAATTGTCGAGCAATGCCGCTGCGCGTTTGCCGGTAATCAGTACTACTCTGTCGATAATACTATATCTATGTGTGCTTGATTTTAATCTTACACTATCTTTAAAGCGAAATCACGTGCAAAACTGAAGTGTATCTATGGGCTAACCTTATGTCCAAAGGCGATATAAATTTAGCAGTCCTTTAGCGACAAAGTTTTCAAAAGCTCTCTTACGCTCTAATTTTTCCAAAATGAGTATTTCTTTGTTTATTACAACGCGTTAGTACAATATATTTATAATATTAACTACTCGCTTCGTTGGAGTTTTGACCCAGTCAGTGGGTCAGCGATATACACAACTTAATTGTGTATATCGCTGTCCATCCTTATCGACCTTTTTATGGCAAGTGAATATTCATGGTCAGTCCCTTGGATATGCCGTTTGAAGGCTTGATTGAGAACTACAGTTCGTACATATAACCTAATCTGCGTACTATAGTATTTTTGGCGGATCACCCTTAGGCCCATTCCTTTGAGTCTGAGGTTAACAAACTAATGGGCCTTAGAAATCCAAAAAACTGCATAAGCTAAAAAGTCGTTGTGTGCTTGGCAAAATTGTCTGAATCCAATGAAAGTGGAAACGATACAACATCTAGATAACCTAAAAAATGTTTAGCGTTCGGTAGTAAAAAAGAAAGCTAATTATTTTAAATTTGATACTATATTTTGGTTTTACTACAAATTTTGAATAACATTTCACTGCACCTTTTTTTATCTTGACATAATGTAGCGCCAAGAAAGGATAGTCATTTGTACTGTTTGTTAGTTGTACTACTTCAGCTCAACTGTTAGTATATATATATATATATATGAGAATTACTGCATACAAATATATTGTAAAGAAGTTCATAATTTTTTTAAGGAGCCCGTTGTTCTCATTATTCAGATCTTTGTTAGTCGAGCTTCTTCATACACTTTTGCTTTATACAATTCTGGTAGATCTTATGAGTCTCACCTTTTTGTATTGATATTTTCATGCAGGTCTAATATACACTAGCTTAAACATTACTTCCGAAAAATTAACGATAAATCGACCAAAGGCAGGTGAAGATTAGACGACTTCTCCGAGAATTTTTTTGTTCTCCAAGCCTGTGCTTATGTTTCATCATAGGCATTAGGTTTTTGCCTAATTCCATGCGGGCCAGGGAAAGCAACTATATAAGAGTCCGTACAGTTTTTGGCAACTCATTAGCAAACTGTTTCCAATTCCACGTAAATATGTAAATACGCGTGCGCGTTAGTATGCGCTATGATCGTCGTTGATCCTATATAGTTTTGTATGCGGATTTGATGAAACATTCATACTCCATGCTCGATTGACAGTATCGCAACCGCTTTTCTACGGCTATAAATAGACATTTTTATTTCTATGTAACTACTCGTAACGCTTGCCGCCAAATTCGTTTTAAAAACCGAGGCAGACGACAAACAATTCTCACAATAGATAAATAAATAAAAGGAGGCATCCGCTAAGAGCATTTCCAAAGCTGGACCAGTAGTACAGAATTTTAAGCAAAATCTAGTTTTTTTCACCATGACACTCTGACGCAATAAATAGGTTAAAAATTTATCCACTTATAAAAACGCTATGCAATGTGTAATTGTGACAGTTTAGATACGCGAAAGAGAAAAAGGGTTATTGGTGTGCGTTCAAACAGGAAGCTTTCGAATATACCAAATGGATCCATATCTTTTGCGTAATACGATTCGAAATGTCCTATGCGTACTAACCATCCAAATAGACTTAAAAAAGATTTTCAAGAGGCAATCAATAAACATGAGTGGAGAAGTGCATTTTTCTGAAAATATTATGCAGAGTGTCGCCTTTCCCTATGTAGCGGTAACTAGAAGTAACCTAATCACATGATTACTCTAATCTGTCTGGTATTATATTAATATAATATTCTTTTCTTACAGAGCTCTCCTTTAACACAGGATACATGAAAAGTGACTGATAATTCCAGCTTCAACAAGACTCTAACAACATTAAATAAAGACGATACTTTACATGTGACAATTTTGTTAAAGGCACATCGTTATTCATGAGATATTTTACAGCTGTTATCGTAATAAGAAACTTTGGGAAGATCTGATTATAAGCTTAGCTTTTACTGATTTTACTATCCAATATTTTAGTTACAAAAACAAGATATACTTTGTAGAGTACATTCATTATGCTAATATAATTCAAAGTGTATAGGAGTGTGTTTGGGTATATTAAAAAACTAAGCAAAAGCGAACAATACGGTATGTTTTAAGATAAGATGCTTATGTCATTATATATTATTGTTATATTATCAGGTCAAATTATAATACTTTTCAATAACTGGTGCCTTTTGTTCGTTTCCAGTAAAATGAAATAATTTCCATATAACAATACAGTGGAATTCTCCAAGTACGATTGTTACTAGCATAAAATCGATTATTTAATTTTGCCTTGCTTTTTAAGAATCGATTTCGCAACAAACAGCTCTCAAATCCATAAAAAACAGAGGGATGATTTATGATTCAGTCAAGAATTTATCGAATGCTCGCACCTTCTCATAAAATTTTATGATATTTCATGTAAAATTAAATGCCATAAAATTATATTAAAAAAATTAAAAATAATGGATAGAACTTGCTCGTGCCTATTATTTACCGTACTGTTGGGTAGAGGCTTGTAGAAACAGTAATAGAATCATTACTTCAACCCAGTCATCTTAAGTTTGAATGCTTTTCGAGTGAGATTTACAAACCTAATTATTATTGCCGAGATCGATGACATCAGAGACAAAGTGTCTCAACAATGAAGCAAGGGATACATTTCCCTTAAAAAGACAATGGGATAAAAAATGTGCTAAATTTTGTATGTATGTATGAAAAACGGTACGATTTAAATGTAACCTGTATCTATTGTTGGCGTTTGGCTGGCCTTCGTATTAGGGACAGGAGGAAACCGAGGGGCTACTGGAACTCTTTCTTGGACGACAGCTACATCAGTGGCTGCAGACGATTCAGATGTGGTCGCGCTAAGTCCGCTTCTCGCTGAGCTGGAATCAGTCTCATCACCCGTCGTAATACCTTGGGAGGATGATGACGATATTGAAACACCTAGTGAATTTTTGGATGATGATCGTGGAGAACACGAAGCATTAAGCGGAATGAATGTGGTGAGGATACTGTACCGTTCGTGTAAAAGCTAAACGAGGCTTATTTCTGTAAAAATAGGATCTGCTGAGAATAACGGTTGGACTCGAATGTATACTGATTAGAATATCGAATATCTGTTACAGGCATCATCAGCGGAAAGTGCACAGGAGCTAAAGTGTCCTCATTGCATCTACAGTACCGACAACAGATATTACCTCCAGAGGCATGTTAAGGTAGTAGTACATAAATGCAGAGTATTTTTATCCTTTGAAATGACTAGCACCTATTGATATTGGTATCACCAACATATTATACGACACGGAAAGACGGTGTTCCTTGCCATTAGAGTGTTAAAATTTAATTGATGATCATTTCATTTGCGACTTGCATATATTTCTTTGGTAAAACTGTATAACAATCTCAATATAGCGAAGTATCTATGTTTCGAGCTCATGTCCAGTATCGCCGTCAGGCATTCCATCAGATGGCGGCTCCCAGCATGGGTTTGTGCCCAGGTATGAATCTAGACAAACTAGAGAGATATACTACAGTCTGAACTATACGTAACTTGTCTGGGAGATACATCGGTTGGAATTATATCATGTAAATTATAATGTCATTTCATTCGGTGTAGGCTCACAATGAAGAAAAACGCCTGGTTTGCCAATCGTGCGATTATCGAACTTCTAGAAGTGACCATCTTCTCAACCACATCCGGTGAGCAGTACATGCCGAATAACAGATACTGTAATTATTTAAGCCTACTCGATATTAGCCTTTTTCTACATTTTACCTACGTTTCTACCTTATGTATTGTGGTCACTTTTTTAGAATTGTAATTTAAACATGAGATTATCATCTAAGGTTCTATATAATTTTTGTATAGAAAGATCCAAGCTAACAGCCGTCTGGACTGTTCGAGGTGTGTGAAATAACTCTAATGTGAACAGAGGTTTAAAATTTCTGTTGAGCAACTATTTTCGCTGCTATGTCTAGTCAGCTTTAGCTTATTCGCATATGGATCATATACAACTTGAGTCTATGTTTAAGCTCACTAGCATAACCCACGTTTGTTCCTACAGGACTCACACATCAGAAAAGCCATTCGCGTGCTCTCTCTGCGATTTTCGTTGTGCGCAAAAAGGAACCCTATATAATCATCTCAGAAGGCGTCACCATAAGGTGTGTCCTAACAGATCAGTCTTAGATGTTTTATGCTTTACTTCACCGTATTTAGCCAGTTGATTCGTATTTATAGTAATGGTTAAAGCCATAGCATATATGAAAGAGTAAAATTTTTTTTTAATACAATTTTGTCAGAGTAAAATTTACGATTCATATTTTGTACTACAGTATATTTGCTCTGCAAATAAGACAACACATTCGAGTAAAATTTTAAATAATTTTATATATACACACTAATGTATACTTGTAAATTTAGTGTTACGCTTCAAGCAGCTACAGGTGAACCTTCAACTGAACTTCATTGACTCACTCTTATTTTATTGGAGATTAATATACGATTTGATTTTAAAGAGCCATTTTATACAGTAATTCTCACCTAAACTAATTTTTCAACGAAGATTTAGGCTTGATGGGTATTCCGATTACCAGCGAACTGAAAATAACCTAGCTATTCTCTCTTTTTTTTTCTTCGCTTAGGATCAACGTTGCATCACGTGCGAGTATTGTGGCTACCGATGTGCTATACGTGCAGATATGAACAAGCATATTCGTCGGGTGCACGAAGGCCGGTGTGTCCTTCTAGGCGTATGAGCAGAAAGACGTTCTCTAAAGGTGAACACGTGGAAATGTTATTTCGAAGTCGGCTTTATTTAGCTGACCGAGTGTTGACTTATACAGGCCTTTAAACTACAACTAAGGCTCTAGTTGCACTAGTTTTGTGAAAACAACATTGTGATAGAAAGAATATCTAATCGCAGTAAATTTGAGATTGACTGGAAATTTAACTAGCAAATGTGTTTGTCATATACAGTCATTTGTTCTGCATCTGCCTGACGTATTGACGCAAATCGCACTGAAATGTAAATACTGTAGGAAGTATAAATATTATCTTTTCTTCAGGGAGGACAAAAAGAAAGAAATATTTGTTATCATTATAATCACAACGACGGCAAGATTTGGATGTCAGGTCATCATGCCCTGATTTACACAAGTTCTATCCAAAAAGCTTGTTAATTAAATAAATTATTGTATTCTGTTGAAGAGACTAGATTCGTATTATGCTTTAATAATTTTTGAATTTTTTCTTTCCTATGCAGGCTTCGACATCATATGCACTGCAGCTTGTATAATCTAATTCCGCTTATGCAGTATCAGCAGTACAAGTATTCGAATTGGTTGAGCTTAGAAATTGATTTAACCTCCGTAAAGATGATGGCTACAGGCTCTACCTCCTCTGTACCCAGCCTGCCAGTAAGCATGAAAACAAACTTTGTTTCACAATAAAATATTATTAACCTCTTTCTTTTGGAGAAAGCCTATTAACACAGATACAGTTTGTTTGTGTTTATATATCTCGGTAAAGCAGGGATCATCTTATAAATAACGCTTATGGAGGAATATGTTGAATAGATTAATTATGGCACATTTGACTGGTGTTTAGCAGGACCACATTGATTAGATGTAATCCCGGTTGGTAATAACTATTGACTAGTGTGTCCTTGAATGTTAAGCCATTAAATGTATGTATTTTCTATATAATTTTCTAGGTTCTTATCTAATTCTTATCTGCATATTTTTTGTTCCAAACTACTTCGTAAATTGTTAAAGAATACCCATCTGCTAGGTCATGCTAGGTGAGCTCTTTTTGGAATCTCTCGTACACATTTTAGTTAACAACTAATTTAAATACCTGTGCCACTTAAACTGGAAGATTTCGATTTTTTAGAAACACATGTCCTCAAGACCGGACTGCTGAATTTATTGACGTCCAATTTGCCACCGTACCATTTTAGAAAACACAAATCTACGGCGGTGAAACGTAACTGTTAGTGACCACGGCTTTATACTGTACAGTTTTCCAGTATACTAAAGATTGAAGGCCGTAAAAACAACGGTCTAACATTTTGCATAGCAATACAAAGAGCGAAATTTTGGTCGCATCAGCTTCTAGCATAAATATTATATGACGGCATGCACGAATTGTCATACCTAAATTGGCGACTGAGTCAACTAAGGTTGTTGTTTCTAGTACTGTCTCACAGGGCATTATAATGGATGTTTGTTATATTATTAGCTACCATTTATTTGCATAAAACTAACGAACATAGTTGTTCGGTCTATTTTTGTTCATTCGAAAGAATGTTTTGTCTTAATAACAGGAGTACATTGCAGGCTATTCTTAACGGTAGCCTACGGGGGAAAGTTTAGTGAATGGAAAAGCAAAGGATCGCTCTATTTTAAAAGAGTCGCGCAGATTCGACCATATTCATCTCATCAGCGGTGCTCATAAAGAGAATTCACATTTGTGCTGTGGCTTTTTCCTTTTAACCTGCACGCTGTGCGTACATGTGCAGGGCACAGAGGTCTCCCTTGTTATCTGTAAACATTATACAAATTTCCTTTATGTATGAGAATGATGTAGAGTATTGAGGTGTCGAGGACTAGACTTAAGGCCGCGGCACCTAGCCCCGTTTTTTAATCACAAGCTAAGCTGGGTAATACTGCTGCGTTACCTCATATACGATATTTACATAAACAGCATTAGAAGCGTCAAGAAAGCCGTTGACGCCAAACCAGCAGCCTTTGTACTATGAGGTAATCTTGTAGAGTCCACTGTAGTGTACATGTATAGTCATTTTAGCTAAAAACAGTAGAGACCACTAAGAACGACTCCATATACTGAGGGTAGATTCATAAAGATTTTTAGCGGATTACGAGGTCGCCAGTTTACCGGTAAGTGACTCTAATTAATTGGCACGTGTGTTATTACTGGTTCTGTGTGCCTATGCGCTAATTTGCTTACGGTTGTTAGTATCGTGCTTTTAATTACAGTCATTTATGTTGCGTTGGTTCTGTTGTAGCTTTATCTGTAATGTTATACCTGCCTTGGCAGTCACTTGAGCATAGTTGGAACCACGAGAACTCGTTCTGATACGGCAGGTACCGGGGCTTTTATTGAAAAACTTATGGTAAGAAGTAAGTACTCACTCGGCTTAACCAGCCGCTTCTTAGTAGTGATTTAGGTACTAACAAAATTAAAAGATTTATTTACGAGCCCACGCCGAAACAGTACTACCGTACTTACTCTTAAGAAACTCATTATTTATAAAGGTGATGTCTGTCACTTCCCATAGCGACAGACAACATTAACAAAAATGTAGGATTAAATAAGAACCATTGCATTCAATTACAAAGACGCACAAAGTGTTACGACCCCGTTTGTTGTATTTCGGAAAATCAGACATTTGCAATTTGCGTCATACATTAAAATTCCGAACGGTGTTAGCATCTTCGAGCATCTTTAGAGTAGTTTGTAAATGACGGTTTTTTCAGTGATCACCGTAACTATTAATTCGATCAAACACACGCGAACGCGAAAAGTTCGAAAATTGTTTGTTTGCAGAGCGATATACTTTAACAGATGTAAGCTAAATGAAATTACATGGTGTTTTTTCAGGTTAATATAACTGTGCGCATAGTGATATTCTGGCACAGTAACGACGCGGTGGTAATACACTTTAATCTATTACAAACGCGTTCTGAATTATTCTTACGCCGGCTATCGTTCGTTAAGGAAGTATTTTCTATTTAACGAGGCGGCAAAATAATTCAGATACCGATGCACTTTAATTTCCTTTTAATAAATCCTACTTCTATTGAGGGCTAAGCAGGCAGTAGCGACAACTAAGGCCCTTGACGTTTCTGTCTATAACCTATCAAGATGACCCTTCTAAAATATGTTTGCATTTACTTGTTCTCTTTCAATCCGTTTGCTTTCTACCTAAATGGCATGTCTTTTGCCTCTCCACATTCTGCATGTAATGCAAATCTGTGAGTTGGCTTGTGCAGACGTCCTGCTGTATGTCGTACAACTGCGGTTGCAAACGAACGTTTTGGGCTAGAATAAACCGTTATCTACTTAGCCTGTTACCTCATATAAATGATGGGGAAAGGCAGGAGCCAATACGTTTCCTGAAGTAACTAATAGTATATAAAGGGTAAGTAATTCAAACTTATTTAAATATTACGATCTGTTCATTTTATAAGTAGCTCTTGTTAGGTCAGTTTTGCTATTGCAGACAATCAAAGTATTTACGATGTGTTGTGTATTATATAATTCATGTCGTTTTGCTATAGTTATATGCTGTAAAGTGTAAGAGTGCACAAAATTTAGCATAAATGCAATAGATTTTCGTATCCACTCAGCATCGAGCTTCCTTAGCCAATTATTTGCATATTCTGGCTTGTTACTGTTGTCATTTTACCAGAGAAAAAAGTCGACACTAGAAAGGTCTAGCGTCACACAGCGCGCGTCTAGTAAGCATCCCCTCACAACAAATCTCTTTGGCTTTAACAACTGTAAAGAACTCTTCAACGAGAACTACGCCTATAAATCTATCTGCATTATGTCATACGCCTGTCTGAATGCGAAAGAGACAGTACGCATTTGTATCATGTTTTCCCTATTGGCTTGTACCAGGTCACGGCTTAATGGCAGAAATTCTTTTTCCTGACCAAGAAAGCTCGTAAACAAAGGTGACGATGTTGTACTATAGAGATGCTCATTTCTTTACCTCGAGAACGAAATCCAGAAACTGCGAAGGTATTTTTCTTCTTTCCTCTATTAAAATTAATAGTGCTCTACTTATTTATGAGAAAGGCTGCCAACTGTTAGCTGTAAGTAGCCTAATAGTATTGTCTGCAGTCATTGTCGAGATTTCGGTTGAGCACTGCACCACGTCGTTGTCATAGGGACTTATTTTCGTTCCACGGTCGCGATTTTCTCCACTGCAAAGGGTGTCGGCATCATCAACTTCTCGCATTCTGGGAGAGGCAAACGTGGCGGCCTTTCCTTGCGAGGGCTGGGTAACGTCACCAGATGCCGCAACACTGAAGGATACTTGTCACAAAATAAATCCTTCTCTCAGACTATGCTGCCATACAGAAGCACAATAAAGGAGTTTAACAGGCCATTTCGCCACTGGTACAACTTGTCGTCGCAATGGTACTTTTTTTTGGTCGCAATATACGCTCAAGAAAACCTCTACGGAAAACTAAGCAATACAAAGGCGTGCATCTACACTAGCACAATTGAAGAGAAGACATACGAAAAGAACAGTGAACATAAAAAGAAGGAGTATGCGGACCACTCCGGGTACAAATTTAAGATTCAAACGCAATGTTCTTTGGAAAACTGCCTTATTATTATTATTGGTGACAGCAACGTTTTCACAAAAAGCTCGCGCGTCTGAGACGGCTACCAGTCAGGACAACAATAATGCCGAAAACGCGGAGCCAAGTGGAAACCCTAATAACACAAGTGACGAACTCGAGGAACGGTTTGCCTTGACAGGTAGGAAGAATTAGTACAAACAACAGATATTCCTATTGTTGTATAGATTGTATATCGACTAGACAAATCCAGTGCCAAGAGCAGGTTAGCTTGTGATAGAATAAGCAGAACCCCCTACTTAAGTGACGTAATTTCTAGTGAGTGTCTAACGATTTCTTGGAATGAGTTATGCTCCAAAAATGAGCTTGCCACACAGTTACGTATTATGAACGAGATCCGTAGTATCTCCTTGTCTACAACCTAAACAGAGAATATTGCCAAAACAAAAAAGAGAAGAAACGAAGAAAACGTATAATGACCTACATTCATAATCTTAGCAGGCGGTTACGCACAGATTATGGTGACGCTTATGAGAATGTAGACTAATTCCTAGTTAGTCACTTTTCATTATCGATTCCATTGTATTTTGACCTCATGCATTTTCTCTAATTCAGAACTAAGCACTAAAAAAATCCTGTTCTAGTTGCATACTAACATGTAAGTAAGGACCACTTTTTTTCGTGAATATATACTCTTTCCAGCTAAAGTATGCCATTTCCAGTATAACCACTTGTGACTATTACCAAACTATTTTTCAAGAAATAATATGTTCACAACTTCGTCAAAGAAAGAGATATGTAATATCTGTAGAATTCCAAGAGCTGGTGATAATATTATGAAGAAATATGATAGTAATAATTTTTATAATTGGCAACGCTAAAATTAAATAGTATTAACCATTCATCGACCTTGCTCCTTTGAAAAGAGCAGATCGATAGTGCACAGAATCTAATATCTAAAGTGATTATTTTCGCATGCTTTTATAGATGACTAATAACTGTTGTTTATTTACCGCAAGAAGTGTTTTGGAAGTATATTGGAAAGAAGTATATTATTACAATATGTTTAGTTTATTGCAGTGTTTTCGTCCCACCGAACTCAACAATTCTTCGAACTTGATTCTTGGGAACAAGATTTTACAATGACATGTATAGTGTACCAAATTATTCAATATTGATTTAGGTCGTTGCGATCACTGTGCTTCCACAGTCCGGCAATAAAAAGCAAAGATGTATGTTTCGATATGAATAAGCAGTGGATTTGCGTCATATTTCTATTTAAGGGGTTTAAAAGCTCATAAATGCAGAAATAAAAGTGGACTTAATGTTAGCCGAGCAGCTCAACGATTTATTTTTGAAAATTTTGAATTTGAAACCTTGCACAGGTCTTTGGTGATGAGAATCGTTAAGTGACTGTAGATCCGTTGCTATACTTTTGAAACTAGACAATAAATGAAACGAAGTTCAAATCGTTTGATACCTTGACATATTTTGTTGCCTGCTTCATAATGAGCACCTCTGGAAAATCATTAGAACGGCGCACCGAATTGAATATGGCTGACAAAAGATCGATTTATTATATATTAAAATTCTTACTATCCATTTTCAGGTCCTGTGCAATTTCCAAAGGAGGACCCAGATACCTGTGTATCTCCAGAGGCTCTCGACGGGCTGTGCGTTGAGATCAAGTTCTGTCGCCAACTTCGTCGCGTTGGGTTAAATGATCTGAGAAAATATATTTGCGGCTTTCATGTACGGACAATGCTTTCATGTTTTGTAATATTCGATTGAGTATATATGGGAGAAACTTTTACTTATCATCGGATATCGTTTTTATGGAAATTTTCGACACTGACACAACTCTTTAGTCAGAAACTAATACCGTTCGTATGTGTTCTAAACAGTGAGTCAACAACGGCACGAACTTGGAACCCATAAATTGCTACGTTGATAACTAAACGAATTGCAGGGATCAACGCCACTGCTATGTTGCGCCGGACTGCAAAAATCAGGTCCTTTACCTCGGCCGCAGCCGGGACCAGAGTCTAAACCTAATGGCCTTCAGCGGCCTCCGAGACCACAGTTCCTTCCACAGAACTGCGGTGTTGGTGCTCTCCAAACGAACCGTATCGTTGGTGGACGTGAAGCTGTTCCTGGTTCATACCCATGGATTGTAAGTATGTTTACATTGGCTTTGATCTAATCATAAATTTTGGCGTGACACGCATTTGTTTTAAAGGTAATTACCACATAAATGGATAATAATTGGCTGCAATATATTTACAAAGAAATTAACGGCCCTCAATCAATTTAAGAAATGCCTTATTGAGACATCTGTTCACTTGAACATTATACGTAAAACGTACCTTGCTACCTTATGCGTTGTCGGCTTTTTTACACTGTTTACAATAATGAGATATAATCGAAGCGTCAAGGGTTATAATTGCAATGGACTCGTTAATTAGTTTTACATTTTAGGCCAGGAAACAGAAATTATATTTTTAAATTATTAGACAAAATGACGAGCCCCGCAGTAGGTCAGCTGAAATCAGTTGATCAGAAACAGAAAAAGCGGGGCTCGTGGCACAGCAAAGTCCGTATACCCGAGTTTAATTAAGCCATTAAAAACATTATTTGATCCCTCTATCACAATATGATGTATTTCTCGATAATTTCTCCGATAATTTTTGTCGTATTTAGATACTCCATAAAAACCACGGGCTGTCAAATACGGTTCTTTCAAAATGAAGAAATAAAGAATCGTAACACTGTTATTTATTTAACTTCAATTGATCACAAAAGAATAATATAATCCGTAAATTGAACGACTCTTACCAACCCAGCTCCATAGTTTATAACTATTCTCGAAATATGGAACAAAGATGCATTTTGTATGTGTGACTTTTGTCTGGAAAATTCCAGATCGCTGTCTTCGTCGAATTTAATAACCAGAAGATTCACATTTGCGGTGCCACCCTCGTTTCTCAGAGGCACGTTGTGTCGGCCGCGCATTGTTTCTTCGATGGGAAGCATCCGTATGTTGTCATTATAAAACTGTACAGACATACAAATTATACTAATGCACTTTTTGACATGGAAGTTACAATAATTTTCATGGCGGAAACTGAGCATGTTGATTGTTGTCCTCATCGCTTTGTATCAAAAATATTTTTGAATCTTTAATTGTACGAAGGATTACTCAAATATAATTTTCCATGTTGCTTCGCTTCACGGCTTTCTTTACATATTAGCTGATCTTTAATATTATTTCGCTGTGGCAGTCTTAGATTCTAGCGCAGCGCCGTTTTTCTGCCATAAGTTAATAATAATAATAATAAAATTAATAAGTAGTTAATTAGAGCCTTATCATAGTACTGGTAGTAGGTGCTTCGTATGCAGAAAGCGTAGATCCAAATGCTCGGTTGAAAAATTGATCGGTTTCACTTTCTGTCGTTTTAGTCTACCTTACAACATTTTTCGAATGAGGATAGGTGACTACGATATAGATCGAAGCGACGAAGTTACGGGTACACTCGAGCTAAACATTCTTGGCTATAGGACCCATCCTGGTTACGTGCAGAAAACTTACTTGAATGATATTTCGCTGAGCTTTCTAGTACAGGATGTGTTATTCACTAAGACAATTGGACCCGTTTGCCTGCCCTACACTGGTTTCGAACAAAATCTCACTAACGCAAGAGCTATCGTGGCTGGTTGGGGTTACACTAAGTACCGTGAGTAGCAAATAATGTCTATGACTTATAATGAACATCTTCATCCGCTTTTATAATAATATTTAGTTACTCTTACGTAATGTGAGGGGATACTAGGGCAGCTTTGACGGCTTTTGCACTGACTACTTCTTTGGTCCTTTGTGCAATAGACAGAAAATACGATGCTGTAAGTGGGCAGTTGTGCCATAACTATATTTCGCTAAGCTTTTTATGAACCTTTTTCTTTTTTCTAAATGTATAAATAGAATCAGGAAAAAGTAACTCAGTCTTGAAGGAGACCGATATTCCTGTCTGGTCGATGGAAGCCTGTGCTAAAGCATTCAAAAACGAGCTCAACATTACCGATGACTATCTGTGTGCAGGAGACGGAGAAGGAAAAACAGATTCCTGTCAGGTGAGGTTAACCTTTTTCAATCTGTAGGCTGTTATAGGACTTCTTTTTAGTAAGTAAGCATTGAAATATGTTGGCAATTGACTTGGAATTAATCGAATAAGCGGCCTACGCACGATAGTGAAAAGATACGAGCATTGAAAATCTGTCTACCAAATGATGCTAGCTAAATCTTTGAAAGTTATGAATACGCTAAAGTATTGTTTTAAGTTAACCCCTTCCGCTGTCGTGTTTTCGCAGGGTGATTCGGGCGGGCCACTAATAATGTGGGGCGATGATGGCCGTTATTACCTTATGGGAATTGTGTCGTTTGGTAAGAAATGCGCCACGCCTGGATATCCTGGTGCCTACACCAGGGTCACTAAACAGCTCGAATGGCTTAACCACAACTTTTAATGAAAAAACCTCGTACACCAGATAAACTTGTTTCTCCTAAGACGATCAGAGTACATTACGTTATTATGTCTTATTAAGGCCTCCAGACCTCCACCGACTCGAGGACTGAGGCCACAAAGAAGAAAGTTCTGATACAATTAAATACATAGTGCCGCAACTGATAAAGAGTCAGCTTCAATGTACACATTAGTTGGTCTATGAATGCAATATGTTTTGTTATTATAATTATTTTAAATTTTATTTTTTTACAAAATTATAATTAAAAAAAAAATATAAAAATATATTTTTTTAAAAAAAAAAAAAAAATATATATATATATATATATATATATATATATATATATATATATATACCATAATGCGAAAAAAACTATTTAATAATAAATATGAGGATAAAGAAAGCTTGATTTGAGTGAATTTAAGGCAAGCTAAAGATACCTGCAGTGTGCAGCTCTTAGTTTTTTGCTACCCTAACGTTCAAATGCGTGTCCCTCTTATTGTTATAGAAATGCTATTCATTGGGCATCGCAAATCTAGAAGTAGTCTATTTAGGTATAAACCTCGTGATAAGTGTACACGCATCACTATATGGTGATTTTGAAACGCTTGTCAATCTTTTTCAAGTTTTGCCGTCGATTTAGTCCTTCCTGCACCTCACCTATCACGAAACAAAGAAGTATCTGTTTCGAAAGCATATATATATATGTGTTGAACATGATATTCAACAATCTTAGCGTGATTATGTCAACACCTATTTCCTACAACGTGTTGACTTTGCATCTGTGATCACGTTACTACCTCGATGAATCAAGAAACTTTTGATAAAAAGGAACTACTGTCATGGAAGCAAGATGGCTGAAAGGATCGAACTGACGGGCGCAACTATCGTCTAAAGTATACCGTTATAATAAACCACTTTCTGATAGTAATCTTGATTAATTACACTTGAGACAAACTGTTGCTGCGGGATGGACTGATTCCCACACAGATCAAAACTAAATGGTAACGTTATTACATAAATCCATAAATTATATTTTGTTGTAATTTCTTCCGGAAATCTACATCGATGAGGAATGCTCGCAGTTTATGATCTAATTGGTTGTCGTTTTTCAAGTTAGGAGAATTTTTAACTTAATAATTTTAGTATCCGAGGTAGTTGCGGTGACTAATGGTCTGATAACTGACTTATTAATATATTAGAATTCCGAAAGCCCTACGACTTCATGCATACGACGGTCTTCTTAGGAATACTGATTAAGCATAGGGCTTAAGATATTGCCGCCGATGGCTACAGATTGATATACAATTCTTTTAAGTTCGCTAATTGGATTGCGAGCATGAGACGCTACCCAGAACGAACACAAAATCACACTTTACCACTTCTTGGGTAGAATTGCTCCTTCCGTAAATGTTCCTTCGTCGTTTGGTAACCGCAGCGAATACATGGGACGAAAGACCTCGTTAGCAACGAAAGAGCATTATAAATGAAGACTAATATTTCCAAAACGTTTTTTATATCTGAACGACGGCGCGTATCTATCTGTCCCACCGAAAGTATTACACAGCTTGCTCACTCACACAAGCGCGAAAATTTATTGATGCAATGTCTTTGTTGATTCTTACGAGCGTTTGACTGACTATATTATTTGCAATAATGATTATTTTTTATTATGTAGAATTCTCATTGTTGAAAATTATATTGTCAGTAAATTGTTGACAACGTACACAAACCTCTATTACGTTTGATTCTCCGCAGACCGTATTCTTTCACATTGAAACACAATAATACAATAGCACGAAACTAACTTAAAGATCTTATACAAGTTTTTCTTACGTGCACCGTTCACACAAGAGATAGTTCAGATAGAAGCTGACTGTTTTTTCCCTTTTAGTTAGCTCAATATCGTTCTCAATTCTGCTAAGATTGAGGTATTTATGCATATACAAAAACTGTTATTCCTTACACGAATTTTTCGGTGAGTCATTTATTAGGCGTCAATTCCATCAATCGAATGCAACTACCCTGATTTTTCACTAAGAGTGCTATTTACAACCGCGATAATAGGATGTTCTCCACAAAGTCATATTGCGACGACGTTTTAGCGGCGTGAACTTGTGGCGTAGCCTGTGCTCGACTGTGATGTTGAAGCTGATTGACCACTAGCGTTATAAGAGCGATCGCGACGTCTTAAATTATCATCCATGGTGTCGCACGGTTGGCGGTACTGCCGCTGCCCGTAATCATAGTTACCGCCATATCCATAGGCGTCGCCTCGGTTACCAAAGAGGTACCCCAGCAAGCCACCGGCCATTGCTCCCGACCAGAAGCCTAGCCCATCATTTGGTAGCGGTGGTCTGTTACCACCGCAGCCATTACCCGGCGCGTAGTAATCAGGCCTGAAGCCAGGACCTCCTGGTGGAAATCCTCCCGTGCCAAATCCCCCATCGCCGTAATCGCTTGCATAGCGCATCGAACGCACACATGCCTTGTACAAAGTGATGACAAGGATAAAAGTAACACCATAGAAGAGCAGGTTAAACATGATACCACTCCTAGAATTCGAATCTTTTCCTGGGATCCAGCTAGAATAAGAAGCCCGCCCAACAAGTCGGTAGCTTAGAGAACACGAACCGACGGTAATATATGTATCATCCGGGTAATCGAAGCCTTCGCAGTTGACATCCATTTGACCTGTGATGATGATTCGACATTATATGTTAAAATGCATGTGGAATAATAATAGTCCAACATCAACAAAATTTGACAACATAGAGCAATTCATACGTACGAAAGAGCGATGATTAGTTTTACAGCTGCAAAACGAAGTGCGGCCTGTGTTAGACTTGTTTCCAAACATTGGTCAGCAAAACTGTGTGGGGGTCTTCCATATCAGTGATTGCAGCTCAAAAATACGATGTCCATGCTCAAGATAGGTTTATAATACTTCCTTTTTTATATTCAATTTTCTGAGAAGTATTGAATCCTTTGTAATTCTGGCTAGATATTTAGGTTCAGTCGTTCTTCGCGCTAACCCTTGAGGCAGGCCTACCGTGATAACGCAATAGTGAAAGAAAACAATACAAAGTCCTTGAAGTCAAATGCATCCAGAGTTGATATATGCAACAATTTCAAGTAAAGGTTCGCCAGAGGATGCAAATCTTTGCATTTGTTCCAAACGGAAATATAATCCAGGTCTGTACTGTAAAAACTTTGCGTTTCATCTTTAGGGTTACGCGATTTTTTACAAAAAATGTTTAAAATTTCAATGAACAGAAATTTCAAGTTAAGTGATACCACAAGGATCCAATAAGTGTTATACTACAAAAGCGACACATTATCTTAATGTTGACATGTATGGCGATCAGTAACAATATAAACAAAGCCCACGACTTTAAATCATTTTGTTACAACTATCTTGTTACTCTATTTGAACAGTTAGTGAACAATTATATATACTAACCAAAGGATACGCCAGCTGGAAGCGTGGCCTTGCATTCCCAGTTGTTCCCGTTGCCGTCCCAACCACGATTGTAGCATTGCACTGTCTTGGGAGTTTGTTCACACCCCGAAAGGCAACTAAAAATGAGATAAAATAAAACAGATCAAATAAAATAGCATTACTAGCACTGTATAAATAGTTAAGGTAAATGAATTTATTTCGTTCGTAAACTAGTGAGACTCGCACATCCGCAATATAAAGGGAAAAAAAAGTCTCGTAATCAATTCTGCTGAAGATCTACGCCTGTTTCTAAAAATCTTATGCACGGAGTTATAGGAAGTAAATATTCGTCATCATTTAATGTCCTAGATATGTTCGAAGATAACTCATAACATTTTTAAAGAAAAGATACATTTCTCATATTTTCTATCAAAAAACACAACAAAAGTTTGTTGTAGTATCGTTTGAATAATAATAGCTTGAAGTGGTGATGATAGATTACGCAGCATAGCAAACAATCATTGCTTGTTTTTTTTTTTTCGTTTTACTTTGAATATTGGCAAATTTCAGTTAAATGACGTATGAAAAAATTAAAGACTAAAAGTGTCAGATGTTCTTAAGAACTTTAAGATCTGCTATGAGCTTATTATCTCAGATGACTTTCAAGATGAACTGAAACGTGTTTACTCTGACCCTGTTTTCATTGCAAATGTGATCATAAGGTTTGCAACATCTGTAGTAAATTCGTTTGGCAGCGCTACTTAGAAAGATGTATGTAACTAAATCCGCCTAAATCATACTTTAGCTGAAGTACTGGGGCCGTCCTTCGAGCCGTCGTGTACTTTCCTTCCTCCAACGTGATTACTTCCAAATCTTTCTCTTTGATTCGCTTTGCACCGGACCACTGTGCGGTGCTTAACGAGAGTCCAATTAACAATAGGCCCAAGGCACTAACCGGCGTTCTGCACCCCATTTTCGTGACACAAGAATGCTCTGTAAATTTCGAATTAATGAGGAAATCGTAAATTCGGGAGTAGAATAGAACACAGAAACAATGCTTACACCCTAATTTTTCGCACATTTGTCGATAAAGTTTTTTGTTATTAAAGAAATAAGGAAAATATTCAGTGCAAATGACGATGATACCTTTTTCCTTTTAGTATATTTTCATGTAACCGCTAGTTTATAGATAGGGCATACATGCAAAAACGATACCAGACAATTCTTTAGTTCAAAGGTCAATCACGGTGCCTGTCTTCGCCATTTCAACGACTGAACGCAACTCGCTGTGTGGTGAATGCCATTATTGCTATCGCCAAAATGTAGAGCATGATAGAAAATATAGCTCGACATAGCACATACCATATAAAAGAAAACTAAAACTACGAACTGTAATTCTATTTGGATACATGCAATACCCTGGCATATAATATTAGATTTTCAAGTCGTCTATTTAGTTATAACGTTTCCGAAATTATATCATTGGCGATTATAACTGACAGTGATCAAAACTGAAATATACCTGTAGTAGTAATATTCAAGTCGGTATTGAATAAGAAATGTAATCTTAAAAACAATTACCCATTGTATTGTATATTGCATATGTATTATTAATACTACCAAACCCTTTTTAGATATTGATGATGCAACTTAGATCCTTTCAAGATATTTCAATAGAGATGCAACAGAGATCGTAGTGACATACGCAGAATTGTTGTATCCATTCAACAGTTAGAGTTCCGCGCCAAAATCCTTACAGACAATACCCAATAAACGTGGGAAGCCACGCATGATCCCGAATGGTTATCTCTGTGTATTCCCTGTTTGACTGTATCAGCAGTAAAGAATATTTCAACGTTTTTTTTTTTATTTCAATTCGTAAATAGCATAACTCGTAGCAGGAGCTAAACCTTCTACACGTACAAACACATGAGGACAGTACTTACATCAGCCTGTCACACCTAGGGCATTCTCGAAAAAGCGGGGCAAGAAAGGATGACGGTATTCTTTGAATCAAAAAACAAATTACTCTCTTGAATTGCTAAGCACTATGAGTTTAATTGTATAGAAAAGTGCATCTTTAAGACGTGCCCTTTTTTGCCTCATACTTTACTGTTTATTTGATTCCTGCAGTCTTATATAAAGCTTGTTCCTTGTTTTTTTTTGTATTAGTTCCAACAACTATAGTTATTTGCCTTACAAGGACTGGGCGTCTACTTGCGATTGCTATTACAGCAATATAATAAGACACTAAACGATAATTAATTCACCTAAAGGACGTTCGTCTACAATCATTCATATCTTACAGACATAATAATACAGCCCGTAACGCATAAAAGTTTGAGTAACAAGCATTCGTAACGCGATACTAAAAAAGGTGCACTATACCAAACATTGATTTCACTAGTTCAGGATGATCCCACGCCTTACATGTGGAACGATATCAATTTAAACAATTAATTTATTGCCAATTTCTATTAGTCGAACGTCACCTAACCAATAAGAATTTAGATAGTGTAACTTTGTTTTATTGGTGTCATAATTTTCATTTTAACACCGCGCATTAGAATTCTAAACCGGTATTTTATTAAAAATTCAAAAGTGTCGAAGATACGCACGCGTCTTCTATTGCCTATGCAATAGCGCGAAATCCGTTTACGACTTTAAGCACAAACAGGGAGATTTTATATGACAGGGAATGCACAGTCAGAATTAGACAAGCGTCATAGACCGGCTAATGAATGGTCCATAGCGTCTATCTATGGTGCTTACTTAACTGTGAGTCGGCGATGCTACCAGATCAGTCGAAGTGATATTGACGATTTCAACCACACTCTATCAACTGTTTGTAGGTTCTTGTCTACCGAATGTAACCACAACGTTGCAAGAGTATCTTACTTATAAGTGACTTATACTCCTGTGCGACTGCTGAACAGAGTTCACTTTGTCAACGCAATTCTGGCGTATTTCTGTTTATCATTTGCAGCTTTCGTCAGCTTCAATCTCTACAGTCAACATGCAAGCAATCACACAGCTAAGCGGAGACGGGTTTAGAAAGAACTTACCACCTTCAGTTGACTATTGGTAATCAATGGCGAGCGCACAGGGTACATCTATATATTTGTATTAAACACTAAGGCTACGTGTAATAACATTCGAGATAAGATTGCTTCAGCGCCCGCTCGCTTATACCATCTGGAAGAATCAGCTGTTCGACAACAGCTCCATCAAATGATCATCAAGCACTTGATGGCCAATCTGATGAAGATGATTTGGACGGATGTGTCTGGTGGTACGTTCGTATCCCTTGTATTAATTTCGCGGCTATGCAACTTTTTCACCCACTGATAAAAGCGTACGGCGTTTACGCTTGAGTTATCTATTGAAAGATGGAAAGAGACTAGATAAAAAAGCATGTTTGTTCTAATAGTGTTCAAGAGGATGATCCTGAGACTTCTTTCAAAGTTTATTATCGTTATATACTGCTATTAACTCAACATTATTGAAAGCTTAACAAAGGTGGTTTCACGCGCTTTACCCGCGCACGTTTCTTCAAAAAAACCACAAGTGGGATCGGAGATATGACTTTTCGGGCACGTCGATGGCTGACCGGCGCTGAGCCAGAACGCTTATGATCTTCGTCATCCCACACTCGTCAATAATTGGCAAAAAACAGTTCTTCACTCTCTATTAAGCAACTGAACGTGTGTTAGCACAAATGACTGTGCATGCTGACGACGATAAAGTTGTGCTCTGCTGGTGTGACTAGCGGCGGCGGTGTCGGCAACACTTCTTAAACCAAAACGAATCAATTACAACAGAACAGTGTTAGACAGAGCGAATCCTTAAATTTAAGCTCAAATGTCATCAAGAGTGTGCGGCACGGTTCGAAAAAAATATATGAAAGTGTTATGCGGATCCATTTGTAAGCAAACGCGTAGTGATTGCTAGGCAGTTCGGCTGCGGCCGCCAGCAATTTTTTCGCTCGGGTTTTTATTTTGCCGACTCTTTAGAGTAGAGTCTCTAACGCCAGTACGTAACGTTGCAAGCGATTCAAACGATAGAATAGCGATTTCGCTTTGCTGGCCACCTGAGCCTAGAAGGGATCCTGTAGCTTGATTGCGCGAAAGCCGGGTCGGGACATCGGTCAAGTCAGTCTAGGGAAGTTGTGCACCGGCAAACTTCGAGTTCTCTTTGGTGTTTTGGATGATGGAACCGTTGTTCGGCGGGGACAAAACTTATAAATGGATCCTTTTTCTTGCCGCTGTAATTCACATTGTGATTTGCCCATTTACCAAAGTTGAGGAATCGTTCAATCTGCAGGTGCGTATACCAGGTAGGGAATGTTGTCGGTACCAGGTATGCCGAAATAAAAAAAACGAATTTTACGTCTTCATCCTTACTAGACTGTTGTATGTGGAGGGGGGGGGGGGAGGTGCTGTAACATAGTAGATTGATTTCAAAAATGAGGTGTGATTCGCAACCCAAGTCGATTGGTGGCTTGAGGTTTTCTAGAAGTGTGTCGTGGGCAAAATAAAGAAAAGTATATAATACCTCTGTTCGCTCTCTTCAAGGCGGTTACCCTAAAATATATTATTATTATTATTATGTGCACTAAACGATGCATCTTAAGTACTCAAATGAACAATGAAATAACATCTTAATGTTACGTATCTCTGACACAGACTGCAAATTAGCGTAAGGTCTGCATATAGCGCTATATTGTCACTAAAATATCGTCATTACTTACAAAATGAATGTATAAACTTTCTGTCTTGCGTCCGTACCGCAGGCAATACATGACATGCTCTTCCATCGAGCCAACATAAGCAATTACGACCATCTCGAGTTTCCCGGAGTCGTTCCAAGAAGCTTTTTGGGACCGCTGCTACTTTCGGCGGTATCTGCTCCGTTTGTGTTTCTTAGCAGGCTCATCGGTCTCGAAAAAATTGTTAGCCTCTTCCTCGTACGCTTCGCACTGGCCCTTATAGTGACGCTTGCCTATCGACGGTTTATTATTTCGGTAAGGCTCATTTACGGCAGGGGCAAAATTACAAAGTGTTCACGTTCATAGGGCAGGCGTTTAGGCGTAGAAACGGTCGATCGAGTAATGCACAAAATTTTCGCACCAATTTAAAACGTGTAATAAACAATGGTGGTACGCTTAGAAAGCATTAAAAGATTAGTATTTGTCATCTTCTTGTGTTACAAGGCTTATACAACTTACATGCCAATCGTATTCACAATCAATACTGACTTTACCGAGAGAACTTTTAGAAAGCCTTTATTTATCTGCATTTACGTTATGTACAACAACGACAACTTTATTAAAGCGAAATGCTAGAGCATTGGTCATAACAGAGAATTGCGCTATATTTGTATCTGATCGGCGAGATCTGTCTAGCTATAATTCATATTTGTAGATCATAAAGTTAATTTACATGTGTACATAATAACCATACTGTGCATACAACTTTTTATTGCCTGAAAACCTTGATTTACGTCATTATATTAGGTTGCATTCAAAATGTAGTGTTAACTAGTTCAAAAAATGATCATACTGTTATCAGCAGCTCTGATGTGACCCCTTTACAACAGAATGAACGTACATCTCTATTACGGTAGCAAATTGGATGAACAGAAACAAAAAAATATTTATTTGATCGTTATGAACTTCCAGGTACAACGAGTGTTCGGTCAAGCTACTGGTGTTTGGCTGGTATTGATACAAGCGTCCCAGTTCCACCTAGTCTTCTATATGTCACGCACTTTGCCAAATACGTTTGCGTTAACGTTTGTCCTGCTTTGTTTTGCATTCTGGATCGATCAGGACCATTTCAAGCTTACGCTGTGTACGGCTTTCGTTGTCGTCATCTTCCGTGTCGAACTCGTGAGCTAATTCGATTTTCTTCATTATACTGATTTGTTTTATGGTAGTTTATTTAAAAAAAAAAAGGGGGTACGTCCGTATAGTTCGGTCGTTGAAATATATACACATCTCTATGTCACTTTAGTATAGTCAACAAATAGTAGGAAAGTCTATCTGCTAGTTAATTGTTCATGCGAGGTAAAAACAGACTATTTGTGTATTGTAGGGATTACTGGATACCACGTCAAATCTGCATTTTATGAGTGCTGTCATAGACACCCTTCACAGTTTTACTATCTATTTTGCTTTTTGGTAGGGTTTACCGAATCATCCAATGTCTAAATCTTTTCTCGTTTGTATTATGTTAACCAGGTTTCACTTTTGGGTACGATGTTGTTAATGGACTTGATCAGCGGGCGGTTGCACCCGCTCAACATGCTCAAATGGGGAATACCTGCTGGCTTTGGATGTATTTTACTCAGTTTTGCCGTTGATTCTATCTTCTGGCAGAGACCTCTCTGGCCCGAGGGCGAGGTGAGCTGAATGAGTCATACGTTTGAATGCTATTAAAATATTTCGTACTACTATATTATAAATAATATTTTTTTTTTATATTTTATACCATTAACTACCGCGTTATTTAGATTCTGAAGAAAGCGGACTGCGTATGACAAAGTGTTTTTACTATTTAGTTGTTACGCTTTTAAAACTGACTATGGGTATACTCTTTTTAGGTGTTATGGTATAATGTTTTTCTCAATAAAAGCTCAGACTGGGGAACGGAGCCTTGGGCGTGGTACTTTTACAGCGCTGTTCCGCGCGCCATGGGGGTTTCTTTGGTCGTGTTCCCGTTTGCTTTATATCTCGACCCACGGGTAAGTTGATTACATTGTATATCATAAAACACTAAACTTGCCGCGAATTTATATTTCATAAGTCTACCAAAAGTACTAGTCAGATTTCAACTAGAACTGAATTCCCACGAACTGCCGTACTTTTTGTCTATAGTCTATAATCGCAAAAGTATTTCAGTCCCCTTGCTGAGTGCAGCTTCCAAGAAATTTTTTATAGTACATACATGATCAACTGGAAGAACCTTAACGCTTGCTTTTGCTTGTTTGTTTTTTGCCTCTATTTCTTGTTGTATTTGGGCTATTACTTGTCATGTTGTTCAGGTACGAACAATGGTCTTTCCCGCAGCAGTCTACATTTTCCTGTACTCGTTTCTGCCGCACAAGGAGTTACGCTTTATCATCTACGTTTTCCCACTGATCAATTTAGTCGTAGCTCGAACCTGTAGCTGGGTATGGGAACGGCGTGTCAAGTCAATCTTTATGGCAATGTGTACCCTTGTTGCATGTTTCCATCTCATGGGCAATTTGTTCATGACGCACACTTTGTTATTCGTCTCGTCTTACAATTACCCCGGGGGTAACGCCCTTCAACGGCTTCATGAAACCGAATTACACACTCCGTACGCCACCGTTCACATTTGCAACTTGGCTGCCCAGACGGGCGTGTCGCGCTTCGGTGAACTCAACCACCGGTGGATATACGACAAGACGGAAGGTCTCTCAGCAAACGAATTAATACGTCGAAATTACTCGCATTTAATTATCGAAGGTCGCTCGGTTCAGTCAAGTAGCTATTTGCCGTTCAAAAATGATTACAGAATAATCGATGCTGTGCCGGGCTATAGTAATATCAAGTTTGACCTCTTGACTTTCCCTCCTGTACTGGTTCGGTTAAAGACAAAATTGCTGATTCTACGTAGAAGAACACCGTCAGATCACGTCCCTAACGCCGATAGCGAACCTCTTGTAGTTGACATACCTTCATTAAGTAAAACCGTCTAGATAATGGCATTCGTGGAGCATGGAATTAGATTCCCTAGATATGGTATGCGTTTTCAAAAGCTGAAAGTATGATGATACTGCACATGATTGTAGTGCTGCCGGGGGGCGATGATGATGAGGATGACAATGATGCTAATAACGATCGAATAATACTAAAAGTCATTGTGGACCTCAAAGCTTTATGGCAGCATCCTTATTTGTATATGGGAGATAGTGAACAGATTCAGAAACAGACAGGTTCAAAAAAGGCACTTTAATAATATTTTAATCCATTACGACTTTCTATCTACGAGCTCCTATATATAGTAGAACTAGTAGTTGGGTAGTTTCCAGTAAGGTATCTTCTTAAACTAAAAGAGCTAGTCAATAATGTTTCTATGGCTTTGTGTAAAGCATGGAAATCGTAGCAATAATAAGGCAATCATATAAGAGTATCTGGATAAGAGTAATGTTTTGCGCATTGTTTGGTAGATGATTTCTTTACGATCACACATCTTGTAGGAACCTAACGTGACCCGGCGTACTCGTAAAGGCGAGTGCGTTTGTGTGAGTGTGCGCATGGAGGTAATTTAGTAATAGGTAAATCGAGTGGATTATAGATTACCTTTCATGCAGAATAGCGACCATGACACTTGCTAAGCCGGCAACCCTTATGAATTAACAATATCCTTTTTCCTTTCTACTGCACATTAGGCGTTCTATTCCGGTCGTACCATTTCATTTGAGAACAGCAGGTTGTATCAGAATATGCTACCACATCAACTGTAGTTATTAGCGAACAGTTATTTCACATTTTTGTGCATAATACGAACGAATTAACTAGATCCGGTTGCATTTGCCTGATTTAAGAAGTTCTAAAACAACTGCGGCTGTGTTCTTATTTAAATGCCGTTGTCAGCAAAGAAATACTCCTATCTCGCCATCGTGGAGGACCGTTGTACCCTTCGCCGTCGGCAGACGTTAGAAGCTACGAATGAAATTCCGTGTAGAACTGAGTCCGATTGACATCACGGATCGATCTGTCATTGTGGGAAAACGTATGCTACACATTCTCGATGATACTGGCACAACCATTAAAATATTTGGGCGTAGCACCATTTTCTTTTCCGCATAATTGTTGTTTGTTAACCGATTATACATTGCTGTGGATTTTACTTTTGCGCTAGCTGCGCCAGTATCTGGGTATAGTCATGTATGGTGTATCGGAGTAAGTTACGTAAGCTAGCCAGGTTGATCGATGGGTGTATTCACGAATCTTTCGGTTGGTTTCAGTCGGCTCCAGTACTTGTGATGATATCATTTCAGTTTCACCTTTTTAAATAAATTTTAGGAGAGCTGTTTGTCCTATGCCCAGCCATAAAGCACTGGACAAAGGGGCTATTAGCACATTTTATAAATTGGTCCCATAAAAGCATAACAAAATCATGTGATACAAAATGCGTCCGAAGCAACATCGTTGTTCGGGTGTAATTAACAAGCCTGCTGGAAACTAACCGATATTGGGTTTACTAGATGATCATAAGAACATAGTACGTAACTGAGTCTAATATGGAGAGTATCATCCTGGTCGTATGACGCGATAAGACTATCGCGAGAAGATAATAACCAATTTGGTGCGATACAGAGACTATCTTATCCAATGGTAGAAATTACTGCCATTGAAGGAGTGTTGTTGCATTTTATGCATAGAAACCTTTTTAGCTATAGAGTAGATAGCTATCTAATCTATGTACAATGACGACCTGTTAAGTGTATTTTGTATGAGATATAAATGCATTTCACATGAGGCTCTTCGGCTAGAGACAATGGAGTATTATTTCTTGAAGAGCCTGTGGGCATATATTTTGGAAAACTAAAGGTATGGAGGCTTCTTCAAAGAGTTCGACGTAATTTAGTTGGTAATGATCTAAAGTCTTACCGTAACAGATATTGAAATTAAAAAAACTATCAGTTTGAACTACACAATGTGAGTTAAAGAATAAAGTGATGAAAGTTAAAGAGTGATAGAAAAGTATTCAGTTTTCCTCAAATGCTCACTTTGGCCTGGAATATCAAGTTAAAATGAGCCGCTCTGACGACTTCACTAAAACAGATGCGTTGATAATCATATTTAATTCTGTACCTAAACTTTCCAGCTTGCTTGACGAAAACAAGCATTTTTAGAAAAATAATTACAAAAAATAATAGTGTAGATAGAATAGTTGCTGTTTGTTATCCTACTACGCGGACAGTGGTAAAAAATAGTAGTTCATGGTTATACCGAAGGTGACTTTGGGATGCGAGTCGTGAATTATGAACAATAATTGTCATGTAGCGATAATATATATGTACAAAGACAATCTTTAAAGAACTTTGGAACACGGAGTCTATCGTTTGCCGGTGAAATAAATATAACTCGTTATTCGCTTTCACCTTAAATATAACAAACTTTGCACTCTTTGGGGATGCAATACTTTTATAGCCAATAGACACGGCTACGAATATTCTTTTGCCAAAAATTACATCGTTTATTGGAGTGTTTTCTATAAAGTCTACTTTGCCCCATGAAAACGTGTTTCCACGCCCCGCTATCCAAGTTCTCCTCGACTCAAAGCTGCTAGAAATTCATTGTTAGAGAAACCCCTTTCTTGTAAACGCTATTTTTATAAACAAAGTTTGGGTATTTATTAACATTACATTTTCTTTTTGCAGTGGGCCACATACAACACCTATTAGTAGCCCGAAAAACTACTTGACTTCAATACAACAATGTCTGCTACTTTGGGTCCTTGTCGGTCATCTAGTATTAGCATATATTTACATGTAAGGATATCACATATGGTCTAAATCTCATAAAATATTGAGGAACTCGAAAGTACCGCATACAACATTTAACATTTCCTAATATCAAAAACTTTATAATAATACTAGTCATTGGAGTAAGTCGCAGCTTTAGTTTCAGAGTTGTTCTCGCCAAAGAGGGATAAAGTGGGTTTTTCTTTGACATCCAAGCTATTTTTTTTAGCAGGAACGTTCATTGCATTGCTGCACACGACATGCGTAACGTCGATACAATAAGTCGTTTCTCATCACTTCAGGCTAATAACTGAAGCTATCTAAACAAGCGCAAAAGAAGCATTAGAAATGCTCTCGAAAATAGTAATCTAGTGATAGTAATTAAATATATTTTCACACGCACTAAACAATGACGGCTGTGGCATTTCCCCTAATTACTTTTGTCTGTTTCTATCTAGCTTAATTTTTTATAGAAAACTTTTGCTACCGGAAAAAGAGGTTTTATTGTTAACTATCTCCGACGTGCACGCTTGCTCTTACACGATCTGGTCAATTAGGGTTAGAGGCCCACTTTTTGCTAATGGCTTCTTTAAGGGCGTTTTAGGGACAGGCTGAACCCCACTTTTCATTTCACTGGTCACACTAGGTTAGGCAAGCCATAGAAGCAGCAGTAACGCACGAAACTTTCTTTTGGGACAGTCTCAAGTTAAAACAGATAATGATACTCTGTTCCGTAAAAAGGTCGATTCTATTCTAGTTATCAACACTTTCGCTGCCTGATAATGTTTTGTTATGGCACGCATAATGAACAATTTGTCCTTTCTCGGTGTGCACGAATACAGAACGGTTGATTCGCCGCTGGCAGATATCGCATAATTTCGAATCGTCAATAGTTACGCAGAATTTCACTAGGTTAAATTTTAGCAACTTCGCCTTAACGTTGTCACTAAGAAGAAGAGCATTAAGGACACGCAACTGAAATATGAAAAAGTGAAGCCAAATTCTATTAGAAACTTTTTCACTTTCAGATTTTAAATAAGATTCCACTAATAACGAGGTCTAGTGGCCTGACTAATATATATATATATATATATATATATATACACATATATATACATATGTATACACAGCTCGTCTTCAGATCTACGGAAATTCTGTTTTAAAAATCTATGCTAGAGTGGATCACATGCCCTAAAGCATGGATTTGAATGGGCAGTATTACAGAAGGCATATACTTACCTTAGATAATTGTATAGATTGCTCTTTCAGTAATTTTGTAATGAATTCCTCCAGTTTTTGTAACGGCACTTCTGGTGGAAGCATTTCGATAGCCCGCAACGGATCCAATTTGTCCACATGGCGATCGAGCAGATTAAGAATTTCCATAATGTCGGGAGGATCGGACTCTGCCGCAGGAGCACTAATATCCAGTGCCTAAATTAAGTAAGAATCATATTGAAGATAACCGTTAGTATAGTAAAAATAACTGGCTTTTGGGGTATTACTATAATAAACTATTACTATAATAAAATCTTCATTCCCATAGTGATACTTTAGCCGTAGTTGTCTTTTTAAATATTTTAGCAAGTAATTAGATTCTATATATCAAGTTTTCTGTGACTTATAAAGGATGCGTGTAGGGCATCGCAACTTAATCAAGCTTGGGCTTGACGGCTATTTAACAGTTATTGGATTTATTTATCCAGTTGATTAGCCTGTCTGTTCTGTTGGATCGCACTAGGATACTTGTTTATCGTAAAAAGAATTATCTGTTTAAATGAGTCCTTACCGCGCACCGACTGCTGTGTGCTACCCAGATACTGGTGTTAAAAAACTTTGTAACAAATTACCCTAGTGGAAATTTGCTGTAATTGTTTTCGAATGTTCTTGTGAGCTGTAATTTTTACAGCTGAATTTACCTTAAGGCAAATTTTTGCCGGAGTAATGTACAGTGTCAAAAGTATGATAAAAACGTTCCTGTCGCAGGCCTTCTTTCCTAAGTACTGCTCGACGCAATAGTCTTCGGCACGTTTTAAATCCCGGAGAACGTGAATGTAAATTGTCAATGCATCTTGATGTCGACCAAGTTTACCCATAACAATGGCACATTCAAGGTATAGCTTGTCGTTGAGAAACCACTGAGGAAATATCGACGGTGTGTAGCGATTCGATGTCCGCAAAAAGTCTACAAGTTTTTCACGTATAGATGTCACTGAAGGGTCGTTGAGTTCGCTGTTAGTTATACGGATGATCTGTTCACGATACTTGTGGATTAGCAAATTGTGAAATCGGACGTTATCATCATGCCAGTGAAGAATGAGATGCTCAAGATAACGTACAATCAGCGTAGGTGACTCCTTCTCCAAGAACTGAAGCACCCTTTCTCTTGGTAAAAGTTCACGGCCGCAAGTACCCTCAGTAAAGATTTTCAGTCCGTCATCGGGAAATGCATCAATAACCCATTTTGCGTATTCAAGTATGAGGTCGAAGTGGTCACCCGACAATCGCTGAAGATAGGCAATCGTATGCTCATGACCGTGAAGCGGTGAGCTCGGAATAAGCGCCTGTTCGGATAGCAGTTGAAGCGCTTTGTGATGGGCACCTTTCTGTTCGTAAAGGATTATACGCTCAACAATTTTTTGGTGCTCCTTTAGCAGTGCCTCTGACTCCTCAAGATGGCAATGATTATCTTTAAAGCTTAGCAGAGCTGCTACAAGGTTTGGATTCACATTGATGTAGAGGTGAAGCATCGTCGTGTCGATGATTTGTAGGAGTAGCTTTTTCGGACGGACAGCATTGATTCCCTCGAGGATACCCCCGACTTGGACATTATCGCATTCCTGACTCTTTATAAATCTTCGGGCAGAACTGAGGTACACAATCAGCTCCGTCATAGCGGTTGTCAGCTGAGACTCATCGAGCTTCGGAACCGAAGCTGGGTATTGAAGCATTTTTCGGTACTGCTCTTTGAGTAGCGATGGAACTAACCCGATAACATGGACAGGATCAGTACGAATCTCTTCAAACAGCTTAAACGCTTTCTGATATTGTCCTTTGGCGAAAAAGTCGAAGGCAAGCAAATTCTCAAGGTGATATTTACAACGCGCTTTATCTGCATCCGATGCATCTAACAGCTTTGCCAACATGAGAGCCAGATGGAATTGTTTCTGGTCTTTACACGCGGACAACTGGTCGCCTACCGAAGCTCGGACAAGGCACCAGACATTATTCGTAGAGATGACGAATACCATCCCACTTTTCCACACGATAAGCCCTAATGGCTTTGGTGTTTGCGTTATCTGCAATGATACAACACAGCGACTCATACCAATGGTACTGTTATCAATCAGCAAAGGCTATTAAGTTTCAACTTACTTCATTTACACAAATCGTGCCGTATGTGTCGTTGACGGACCTTAAAACAGCGAGTCCAAATCAATGAACAGCATCTTTTTTTTATAAGAGATCACTCATTTGGCAATATAAATTTGATTCCACACCCATTTGTAAGAACGTGGAACCTTATGAATCATATTCTGGCTGAAGAGCCGCTCAATCATGCTTTACCTATTTTCATCAGCCATTCATAATAACTATTTGCCGAGTTTTTAATTTCCAGTGTAGTTGTTATCTCCGTCTTAGTGGCACATATGTACTAAACTGGGTGATTATCAAAATCGGGATTAAAATACTCAACCTATTATGTAGTATCATCGGTAACTATGATCAAAGCTGGCCGGTTGTTGTGAGCGCACGTAAAATTGAACATGTGAGGTCTAAGGGCACGTTTGTCATTACGATTTGAGGTATAGAGTTTTTACAAGCAAAAATTAGCTTTGACTCATAAGTTCTATATATATACATAGTGCTTATATATATACCGCCCGAAGTCTCACCTGAATTGTCTGAATTGTTAGGGTTGGGTTTATTGTATGCACCTCGACTCCAGCTGGCGAAAGACCCATTAGGTAGGGATAGTCGTAAGCTAGTGAGACAGGCAATTCGCTCATGATGATCGGTTCTATCTGAATTCGATCACCATTCATATTTACGAGGTGGACGTTTTTTTCGCTAAGCACTGCATAGCTGTCGTCCTGCAACCGTGTAATGAGTGGTTCTGGTTGACGACTGATAGTGCGTAGCTCCCGAAGGTCGCCCGTTTTGTTCGCCTTGAGTAGGACATAGGAGGTCTTGAAGCCAACGATAAGATGCTCCTTGCTTGACCAAACCATTATACGAGGAACGTCAGGCAGTGTGTGTTCATAGGGATGCTCTATAAACGCGCTATCGTTATGTTTCCAATAGAAGTACTGGATCCTCCGACGCTGTGCGATACACAATCGCACCACTGTGTAATTTCTGTCGCTTGGACTGACGTTGTCGCTTCCATCATTGTGGCGCTTGACCCGTTGCGTGCCGCAAGCGAACGTGGTAACCCCTTTGAACTAGAACAAAATGAGTAATTTACGAAAAGGGATGAGCTGAATAAATGCCATCAAAGATCGATGAGGAAGTACCTTATATTATTTTGTTTGATTAACTGGAATGCTTTTGTGTAATTAAATCCTGTTTCCATTAACAGGGTACTGAGGCTTGGGCGCGAAATTGGGCCCTCACGGAGAGCAAATCAACTATTATCAGAAAATCGTCGTGAGGCCATTGTATATAGAAATTATATAAATCGTATTCATTCTGGTGGGTTTCTAGAGTAGAAATCAGACGTTATGGATGATCCAACCTGCCGTAGAAGTGGGAATGTCTCGGAAATTCTATGCACGTTAACAGTCTGATCCGATAGGCTGATCAGAAGATCGTGATCTTCAACTACAACCAGCTCGTTTATAGGTTTTTTTGAGAAGCTTTTAAAGGTTTTGTGAAGCCTGACGTCGAGCGGGCTTTCCGAGTTCGGTGGATGTGCCTTGGTCACCCGAAACGTCGTGAGGTAACCCTGCTTTGTGCCTAATAAGTAACCAAACAAAAAGAGGGTCATAAGAAACATCAGTTAAGGGACTATTTTACGAAAGTACATACTCTGGATTACTTGTAATTAATAATTTACGGCTACTATGAAACGGTTAAGGATACGAACATTAATTTAGTTTCCATTGTACCATATATCTAGCAAAAGGTGATGATCCAGTAAAAATAGTGTATAAATACAAATAATATGAATAGATTAAATTATGATCTTCTTACTTAAAACGTAATTAAGAATTAAGAAAAGCTGTTCTTGATACATACCAAGCAAAAGTGTATCTCTGTAGGTAGCTGCACACTCAATGCTAAACGTGGGTGGAAGATTTTGTAGCACAGATTCGAGTGAATAGGCCTTGTACATTGAGTCTAACAAAGACATCAATGGTCGAACAGAATCACACGGAAGTATACCATATCTTAGTAATCGACAAATTCGTCGTAGATTTACTATGTATGTAACCATGAATCTATGTCGTGATCAATGAACCAGTAGCATTATATCCAAAGAAAAACGTGTGCGATCTCACAGCACTTCATACTCATCGAAAAAATTGATTAGGTGGTTGTGCATGGTGATGTACATTAATCATGCGGTTTCGCTTCGTGCTGTACTAGCTTTTGGAAGCCGAACGGATCATTTCCTGACCAAAGTCAAAAGTCTTCTCGAACATATAATGTGTAAATACAACAAGACGCTTACGTGGATTAGATCATAACAGTTCTATTGCGGCTAAGCGAAACACTCTGTCGAAGTACCCGTTTAACCGTCTGATCAAAAGGGCTAAACAGTTGTGGACTAGTGCTTCTCTCGATACTAGCATTAGAAGAAGACAGTTTCAGTGGGCGAACGCGTCACACTGTAGTTATAAATACATATATTTATATGAGCGTTACGCTGCATTTTAGTGGGATTGAAAAACTGATTTATTTTCTTGTAGCCACCGATGTAATTCAATGAAATTACATACGGAGAGGTGATGGGGCTGTGTACCAGCTGGCACATATTGAATTTTAAAGTAGAAATAGCTGTCTTGATAGGCAAAAGGCACTAAAAGATGAATTCAATGCGTCATATCCTAGGTATTCTTAAGTTGGACGGACATACGGCTTGATAAAGAACACCTTTCATATTCAAATTTCGCATGCTACAACTTATTCTTTGACAAGACACTTTCGAACTTGTTGCTTAAAGAAACACTCAGCAAGCGTGACACATTTTGACACACAATCGATTCAATGACGTCAAAACGATGACCCACCTTTTTCCATTTTGCCGTACTGGCATAACAGGGATAGCACTACGGTACATTCAACAAGTCATTGGCCAACCACTGTACAAACAGTGAGAATATAGATAACGCAATGAAAAAGTTCAACGAAGTAAACTTCCTATTGCTACATCACAGGGACGACCTGTTATTTGATTTGAAAGCAGTAACCTGTTTAGCATTGCATTCTTCAACCTATTGCGCCTACTCCCGTTCAAGTTTTACTGTAGCACTCCCATATCCGATATGATTACTGTATCACCGAAAGTACGCTCATACATATCCGTTGTTTTTACTTATCAAAAATCAAAGCTTGCACAAACTTATCCTCGCTACTGATATTAACATCTATGTATGTCATCAAGTATGTCCCATTACTGACGATCAGCTGCTTACCAGGGTTCCCGATAACCCAAACGGGCACTAATATCATTCTGTGTCTGGAATTGCACATTAAATAACACACTGACTTAATTGAACCGACTAGTACTTGTGTGAAGATTATGCAATTGATTTTCCTTGCATTATTTTCGTAGCGATTGTACTCTGTTTTGCAATGAATCAAAAAATTAAGTTCGATGTCATCTTCTAGCTCTCTCTGAACCAAATTAAGACTTGTTACCGCCAACGATTATGCTTAAGTTATTACATAGAATGTATAGACTTGAGAAGTGCACCTGTGTCTCGTGCAATCTGACCACCCCACTTGCTGTCATGAACATTGAGTATACCTTGTATGGATTTAAGTAAAATTTACTTGCATTAATTCAAAATGTGTTACAAGCAAAATACATTTAACTTGATCGCGTCCGGGTGATTCGACAGTTACCATACATTTTGTGCCAGATAACTTGGGACACGCTTTGATAAAGTGTATCAAAACAAACATACGTTTAATAGGTATTATTCATATTTTTTTTTATAACAAGGCCACATACTTGTCATAGCGGATGCCGATGGCTCGTTTTCAGAGCATGAGCGAAGACTGTCCAATGTATTGGAGCTGAGGGCATCGTACGCACGACTTAACTTATTTGGTTACCCTTAATCTATAGTCGAATTGTCGCCAGTCTTAATACGGCTTTCGAAGAGTTCGACGAAAACTCGCATGTGGCAATCGGGAAGATCACAAAAAGGATCGTAACTCAGACAGGTCAAAAACTAAAAAAAAATCTCCTCCCCCATCCTTAATTTAGCTGCATTTCCGGCACGAATGTTGTAGGATGTAACTTGTGACCCACGCTTGTATACAAGCATAAAACAAACAGTACACACTAACATTAGGCTAAACAAATTGTTATTATATTCGCTATAAATATAACTTTGACGAACGTTTTACATTAACATTGAGATAAATGCTCGTCATTGAGCAATTCGAATTCTATTATTCATCGGTTTTTGTCGGTGAAAGTGACATCAGTCAGGTTACGAACCCACTATGAGAAGCACGGTCAAAGTTACGGTTGTTAGACAAAGTATGTCATTAAAGAGCTTCCTTAAAGGATCCTATCAAAGACGACTAGGAAGTATCTGGCATAATCTTATTCATATCAGGGTAAATCGATTTTTTCATCATTAAAAAACTGTCTTTATTATTTTATCATTAAAAAACAAAGAATAAGTTTGCTACACGTGTTAAGCTTAATTATAATTAAGTTTATTTCTCATATATGCAAGCTCCGATTATGCTACAATCAAAGTTTTACGACGCTTTGTACAGTTTGATATTCCTGTAGTTTACAAGTGATTTCGATTAGCTATCTATTGTAGGTGAACATTTCGTTCTATTGACTTTGCCATGATTTGCCATTTTGCGAGTCAATATATCTTTATCGTTACAACATATTTATATTTTCTGTATATATTTATTTTTCGCATTATTAAGAAACGATCGCGATGATAAAATACTCATTTTTTCCAGTTGTTAAACGAACGATAAACTACTTCCACATTTCATATCCATATATTAAAAATTTACCAGACGACCTACCCAATATTTTTATTTAGAAAAGTGGGGCTCGATTCTTTTCCTTGGTTCAACTTCGACTTTAAATATCAATGCAGAATGTTTTAAAGTTGAATTTACCTATTTTGCACCAATGGGTCACCTTCTTGTGTCATCATTACGACCCATGTATGTACGTAGATGGATTGTGTAGAACGAAATATGCTGTATAATACGACTCGTTTAGCCACCTAAACAGTACAACAGCATAATGAAAGATCAATGAGTTGGCTGCTCGCCCAACCAAAGTTGAGTTCATTTATAATAGTTATCGTTAACTTGACATTCATTATTACGTTAAGGCATTGCTTATCCTGCTAGCATTCAAGAGCGTAATGTTGAAACACGACATCTCGGGGGTTGTTGCAAGTTCAAAAAGAAATTTGAAGTAGAAATCAACTTCCGAGAAACAGCCAACCTTTCACCAGTCCAGAATAGTTCACTCCTGACAACATACCCATTTGAGTTATGACATACTCTATAGAGAACACCATATTAGTATAAAAATTGATCTTGGTATTGAAGCCATTACTATATCATTTGCCGCTTAGGCTGCTGCATATTAAGTCCTTCATATTCGAAATAAAACGAATACTTCGAACAATGGCAACGGTTCATCTCTTTCGTTTAGCTATCTATGCGCGTACACATTTAGGCCTTCGCACTAGGTCTACTACGGAGAGTGCACTAAGACAAGTGCTTGTAACTTCGTCTTCCCACAAATTCTATGTGAGACTGTTTTTACTTCTGGTTATAGCCAATCAAATAGGCTCTTTAGATGAATACTGCATGATATGATTATCCAACGATTATGATTATGCATGCCTTGTCCAAAGCCAGCAAGAGATCGCCTGAGCTAGATTTTTACCGCTTCGTTGCTCGATAATAAAAAACCCCGGCTTTTAATATATGTGCCAATAGTGATATTTTTTATTTTGCCAATAGCCCCATCAGAAACCTTGTTATTCTCGTGTCACGTTATTTCGATGGACGACTGTATGGTAAAAATAATAAACGTTTATGTTTGTTATATTTGTTACTCTTTGTAGTCGAAAATGCCTATGCGAGGTAGATACTTTAGGGTCATTGTTATCGTTATTCATTATTTATACTGCGTCACCATTGCCAAGCTTCAATCAGGTTATACGAAGCGCACATAGATAGAGAAACATGAACGAAGAGGAACCGAGCAAGGCAAAATAGTAGGCAAAAAAAAAGCAGTGAATCTTACGAATCCTTCGCGTGTCCAATCGCTAAACTGGTTTGAACATGAAACAAAAAAATAGATCTCGGAGAAATTTTGAGAATTTTCTGTTAGAGATGTCAAAAATGTGTTTTTGGAATTTATGCTCGCAGGAAATGGAAATCATTGCTCATGTTGCCACGAATGCGTATGCTCTGCATTTGTACAACAAAAGCTTCGATAGACGAAAAAGTACTTTAAAATCGTTTCAAACTTTTCCAGCTAAGTTTTGTCTATTAACGCGTGCAGTTTTTTAAAGGTACTCCTTAATATATTTATTGCGAACTATTTACAAAGAAAACATAGGGTTATAATTCAACGTCCCGGTTTATTAAAATTCGTTCATCAATGTTTGAAACGAACTTGTTGTCTACTACCGAATTTATTATACCTTGGCTGCATGCTTTACCGCATAGCGTATGTTGATCTGGTAAGGCTCTGATTCCGGTCAGTCTTTCATAGGCTATCCATGTTACTGTTTTTTAATAATATTTCATCAGATTTCGATAAGGTCCGCGCTCACAGTGCGCACAGATCTTAAGAATAGTTTTGTAGAATTTATTGAAGTTGCCAATTCTGCTATGCTTAACTTCCTCAACTACAATTATCTTGCCGACATTAAACTGTGGCAAAATCTTGAAAACCCGCTTTGGAGACGGCAGAATTTTGTTGCCGGAAAGGACGCGTAAAATGATGAAGTGTAGAAGTAAACTATTGTCATACCTACGATTCAACACGAATTCCTGGGATGATGGCGCGCACGAATAGAAAACAATATTTCAGATCTAATAGTGGAGGCAGAACTGAAGATGATTTGAACATTACGATAAGGAACGGCGATCGCTAGAAGTCAGGAGGTTATATATCCATCGTAGTTTCTAACGACTTCCTTTCATTTCTATCCATCCAGATAATATATCACCGTCTGCCCAGAAGGTAACGGGTTCCGGCTTGAGTCACGTTTTGAGCTGTTGATCTATGTTGCACGCCGCCAAGGTAATGAATTGTCTAACAAATGAAAAATATGAAAATTTATTGTTTGCAAAATATGGATGGTGCAATAAAACCTTCCATTCGAAGTAGCATAAAGCAGTTTTCACGATTTTTATTGTGTTACATCTCATTTATCTTCACGTATATATATATATATATATATATATATATATATATATATATATATGACTCTAAAAAAAACGTTAGCGAACGTGACAAGCCTCTGGCTGCAAAAAAGCTAGGGAAGGGGGGGGGGTCACTGACCCAAGCCCCCCAGTAACATACACGGTAAAATTCGTTTTATATAGAAACAAAAATAAACATGTATTTTATGTACCAATTCAGTTCTATTCCGCTAGCTGCAACGATTAGTACAGGTTCCACGAGCATTTTCGGCGTGTCATGAATCAAGTGACATAAATATGTCTGCAAAAGAAGCCAAACTTCACAGTGTTGCTGTGTATACATCATGTCCGGTCATGTAAAGCCAAACAGTAATACGAGTTGTATGAGTCCTGAAACCGATTATCGATATCAGTGTTTGAAATCTATCAAATCATGATACTCTTACAAACATCAAGTTCTAGGAAGCTCGCTGAAAACACTGCAAATACAAATGACGCCAACGGTTATCCGTCTCAAACAATCTGTCTCGAAAAAATATCTCCTATAGACGAAAGCTTTGCTCTCGGAATATTTGGCAACCATCTGTCAACAATAATACCGTGCTCGTATATTTAAAATACTAAGCATTTTTTTGAAGGTTTCTAAATGAGGTCCAACAAAATTAAGGGGAATCAATGGAATAAAAGCTCTCAATTACCGTTAACGCAATCTTTTTTTGGTTACTTAGATTTATGTCAGTGGTTAGACGCAAAGTTCTCGTTCAAAGTCTATCATAGAGATATTGGTTCTAGCTCAAATGTGCATCGAAAATATCTTATAATCGAAGGTACATTTCTGCCTGTGTAGATTTCCACAAATACTTGAAAACTCCCGTCTATTCTAACCTCATTTCGTTCTTTCTAGTCAATGTCTCTAGGAAACAATTGTGTATATAAATTAAAGAAAACAGTCGTGAAACGGTCATTTTTTGTCCTCGCCAGCAAATTCAGTTTGACGTGTCTGCGGTCGACATCTATTTAAAATGAGATAAATAAATGAGATAATGAGATACAGTGTTTCGTTGCCGTACTTGAGTTTGGGTAAATCAAAGTTGAACGATCGACCGCTCCAATCAATCAGATTTTCAGTTTCCTGCATACGAAACGTGTGCTTTATTTTCTTCTGACTTCCTTGTCCGAGAGTTACTTCGTTTCCGGAAAAGTAATTGGAGATTTATTCCATACCTAAACAAGATTCTTATGAATTTACCACATCTGCGCCTCACATCTCGCTCATACCTTACAAGACCACTTGTTCAACCAACGCGAAATATTCCTGATTTGATAGCGTCATTCGAAATTTAGCTTATGCTGCTTAATATGATGTTAGGTTTGTTCCAATTTCTAAACAAACGTCAGCTGGCAACATTCATTTCTGATTGCTTCAAAAACTTCGATATGGCGCTATGTACAACGGTCACCACTTTAGAGGTAAGGTTCATGACAATTAGGGCCACACCGTAAAACGTAATGCACCTGGCCATTTCTTCGAACGAGTCACATTTCAATGCACAAAATGCACACAGTCAATGCAACAATTTGGTAAAGCAATTAGCTGGTCTTGAAGAGAGAAGACCACCCTGTGGTACTGCTTCCTTATAACCTAACGCTTCTGAACCTGTTTCGTTTCAGGTTATATAAAGTAAAAAATTTTGTAACAGGACGGCTCCTATATTTACACAAACGTCGTGTTGACCTGCAACATTTACTACCTAAATGAATCGAGAAGTCAATGTAAATGCATCTGAAAATATAACGTGTGTATAGGAGAGGCAAAGTGGCAATTATTATATTAATCAGTATACGTATATATACATAGTGATCAGTATAATCACATGTATTTTCAAATGCACTTATATTGAGCTCTAGTAGAACTTTGGTGGTAGGCGTTACACGGCAATGCGACGTTTGTATATTTGCGGCATTTTGTTGGAAAGCACCCTAAGGACTTACATGGATAACTATGATAATACGAAAAATGTTTCCATTTATATAGTAATATCTTTTTTCCATATACATAGTAAATTATATATTTAATTAACCAAACGCGACAAAAATTTAAATATATAGCTTATCAATAAATAATGTATTTAATAAGGTCTATTGAATGTTATCAATATTACTTGGTCGAACTGCGTAGCCTTTTCTAGTTCGATAACCTACGATGACCTACATAGTAATTGCATTGCAGATAAGATAATTTGTTAAATAAAACCAGGTCACTTTTATTTCCGACAATTAATCGTCTCTCAATCGTGCATATTCCTTTTTTTTTACTACATTTTATTAATATTCATCACAAAATTTCGAACGATGTTTGAGGCCAATTTTCTTCTTATTTTCCAATCCATTCCTCAAAATGGCGCAACGTCCAATATAATAAAGTGAAGCTTTCTTCGATCTTAACAGGTCGTCTGTTAGGTAAAAATGACCCAGATGTATGGAGTATGTATAGACAGAAAGCAGTCTACATCTTTTAACTGACAATCGGATGTACTGTTAAAATTGGCGAACCAGAACACAAGGCTCAATGTATCCTGCAAAAACTATACATATATTTTGTCGTAATTGTCATTGCTGCCGTGTTCTTCTGTCAGCTGCATGCGACGTGACAAGCTTCATTGCCGTTTCGATTTCAATTCCATGCACTCGGTAAACCCTGTCCAATAGTCGGTGTCGTCGACCCATTTCGCAGGGCAGCCATTGCGGCCACCTTTGTGAATGCGCGCATAATCATAACATGTGATTCGACCATCGCCGTCGCAATCCGTTCCCCATTTGTTCATATACTGAACAATCGTCAACTCAGAGCACTTTTTGTCCTTGAGGCATTTTTCGAAGTCTACCAAGTCAGCCGAAGATTCGTATGCGTCAGGAATTTGAATCGAATAAACGTAAGTCAAATTAGAACAGGCCTACTCATCAGGTGCTGTATATGTATATCATTAATGCATGTTTTCTAAAATAAAATTGAACTTTAATGATACCTGATTCAATTTACAAAATGTCTATTATCTAAAAACTGGACTATTCCTTAAACAAACATTGAAATATTAGGCTATACGATTATAATGATAAAATTGGTGTCAATTATAATACTTCAAGCGCTCAGAAACCTGAAAATATTCGATTTGCGGAGCTCTGCAGGTCCACACGCCGAATTTTTGCTCATTTTAGCACAAATCGTTACGTTTTTTTAATTTCTATATTTCTTCACTGCACTGTGCATTGGTCTACCATGCACCAAGTCACTTCAGCAGAACTTTAATTTGTACAGCATTTGTGCATGAAAGGTAATTCCTTCGTACAGATTCGGTTACAGCAGTAAATAGGAGTAAATAATCGGCAATACTGTCGTTTTAAGAGATACGATAAGTATACATAAACAGACAAATAAAAACAGGTTATACATACGGTCAATGTTTGCTTCTCCAGGTTTACCAGCATCCACCCAATAGGCGTAGGAAAGCGTATATGGTCCACAGAAGTAAGCATCTGGCCCAGCGTTGTGACACCCTTGATCCAATTTACATTTAGTCGATGCCTGTTTAATAAAAGGAATAAATGAATATGTAGTTTGGTATGCGCACTAGAAAACTTTCTAAGCCATTTTAGAGAGATTTACTTAATAAAGCAAATATTTATTTCGTATGTGTCATAAGCAAAAGTAACTCCCACAAAAATCCATTCAAAGAAGTTGAGCTAAGCCTAGGTGCTACCTAGATACTTGTTTCGTATACCTGAAGTCAATGCATTCACGAAAAACTCTGAAGAATTTTTGCCATCGATTGTATATTATGTATCCTTTTTAATACCTTATATAAAATTATTCAACTGCGACCTTGTGACGGACGCTTGTAAAAATTCTTCAGCTTTCTATTTATATACAATGTTATAACGATATACGCAATTAGTTATTTAATGTATTTGTTACTCTAGAGATTTATAGTTACCTGACAAATGCAGTCGAGGCAATCTCGCGTAGAATTCTGGCTATAAGTACCCACTGAAATTGAATATGATCACAATAAAGCGCGTTCACTGGTCAAATTTTTCAGGTAGCTTTAGATCAGTTGATACAAGGCGTACATAGAAAAACCCATGTCCGATCAAATTGATTGCAACTAACTTATGTTGATCGAGAGTAACTACAAACAAAGTCTACAAGAAAAAGACCACTCAAGCGGCGACAAGCGAAACTAAATTTCAGCTAGACAGTAGGAATCATTGTTGAAAAAGTACACCACTGTACAGCATACGTGTAATTCTATGAATCATCAATGATTGTCGTTTTCCATCGTAACGAAGCAACTAAGTTCAGAACATATAAGGATGATATGGACCTAAATTTCACCATTCTGATTTTATCCACAAAGTATCACGAAAGACTTAAAGGAAAAACGATACTATCAGACGGCTAACAATAACCTTAGGTGTCGTGCACTGCATGTGTCCACATATCAGTCGAATCGGTCAAAATTGTTAATCGTTGCTAATCTCCGCTCTGTTTTCGCTGTGTATTTTAACACTCAAAAAATACCGTTTTTATAAGCTATTATTCACGGTCGGTTTTGATAATTTATGTAAAAGTGTCGATCTTTTAGTGGGTGTTGAGAGTAAGACCGCAGAGGTGAAATTAGTTCTCAGTCTCTTTTCCTGTCCTTATTAGCGCTAAAGGTAGCTAATTTTTGTTTATTTTTTGCGTCTATCCTCATTATATTTTACTTAACACTTCAGTTAGAAGTGAACCTAGGCGTTTCATAAACAGCGATGTTATCGAAATCAAGCGAAAGAGTTTTTACTTCTTTTTAACTTACTCGAGTATCTTATTCGTAACTTTTTCGTTTCTTCGTCGTTATTATTATCATCAGTATTATTATTTATTACATGTGCAAACGGTTCGGCCGTATGCGTCGTCTGGTTATTGAACATACTCAATTCGTGCAAGATATTTTCAGTAAGAACAATCAACGGGTTAATTGGCAATAAATTTGAGTTACTTTAATTCAAATTTGCATTTGTTCTGAGATAGAGCTGAAAACGATCGAAGCATGTAGATGCTCGTTGTTTCTTTTTTTTTTATCTGTTACCTTTTTCAGACGATTCCACTAACCTTTTTTGGTGGTTGCGCCAATTTAGACCTAACTTATGCAGAAGTTTGGAAACCTAGCGCTAGTTTTATTACGGTGCATAATCGTCTCGTCCTTCTGGTAAACCTGACTAAATCATATGGCATTACTTTGTGCTCGTCTCTCGGTTCCTTTCTACGAATATGCACAAGGTACAAAATAATGGAAATCGGAAAACAAATCTTTATAAGATTACCTCCTGCGCCATAACAAAAGTATTATTGGCTCGGCTTGCATACAGCGATAATTGGAAACATGTTATGCCAGCCATCTCAGACCGATAACTAGTCGAATCATCTAGATTTTCCAATTGGGTGTCGCAAGTAAAAGCGGCATACCATTTAAAATTAGTACTTTTTCGAATAATCAACTGCTCAAGGCTGTTATGGCCGGTGCAACCGATACAGTATGTAGTCACGCTATGAATGCTCAGTGAACGTGCAAACTATTAATTAAAAAGCCCAAAAATTACTCATATGAGCTCCTATGTGATTTGATGATGAAAAATTGAGGGCTTATTTTTTGCGTTATATACAAATAATTATCGACATCGTTGAATATAATTCAGTTTCAAAATGAGCTGAGACAAGTTTTTGAGGTAAAACAATAGTTCCCATCTGAGTTACAATATTCACCAAATTAGGGGTTCGATACGTCACCTATGGGAGTACCAATTAACCTTGGAGCGGTTTTTATTGCTAATTCCCCATTTTCCGGTGATAACTGTGACACATTTCCCGCAAGGAGTTAGCCCGAAAAAACTGAGTACAAGTCGTTGAACTAATATATGATTTATGCAATCTTCTAACGCACAGGGAGCTAGTCGTGCAAAAGCGTGCTCAGTCTGTGGATGTATTGGTTCAGAAAAACAGTCGGCGATACCTGTGGTATTTATATTTTCGAAAGTACCACGTCAGTATATTAATCCGTACAGAAGATGCGGAAACTTTATTAAATCAGCTCTATTTCGAATGGTACATTATACTCACCTGTAAGAGCGGCTAGAATCAGAGCCGCGGCCGTTCTCATATTTAGCGTTGGGTTTTCCTGCGGCAAGAGATTAGACGACGATTGCAGCAGTCAATGAACACTGAGTTCACTTCTAAAGAATGGCTGTTGCTTGCAAAAGAATGCGGTGCAATGCTTCGACAGATTTGCACTGTAGACAGCAGGCACGACGCTGTCCGGTCAGCGAAGGCCCGGGTCGAGGACCACCAAAACAGGCGACGAGTAATGCCTGTTTTTCCGATACGTACCGTCACAGGTAATCCGTTACAAGTTTGCAACGACCCTGTGGCAAGGAGCCTAAAACGATGACGACGACGACGACCTGGTTAGATCCTCTCCGCTTAGCGCGATCGAAGCGACATGTCACTGCCCAGCGCTTCGCCTGCCATATGGTGATAAAAATATTGTCGCGATAGTGATATGGGCACAGTACCGTCTGTGACTATCGGAACGGAGGAACCTACGCGAATGAAACGCAACACTTCATCAGCCATCGTCGCATAGCACCAGTAGTCGATGCCGATGGGATAATATTTAGAGTTGTGGAAAGAAGGAGGATCCATTAGGAGAGGAGGCGAGTTCGGATCAGCAAATCAGTGGCGAAACTGGTCGATAAGATGATAAGGAAAAGATCCTGACGGGTCAAAACATATATTGGGGTACATTGATAGAGCGTTGGACTGAACACCGCAAACCAGCCGCAACAGCCACCGATAGTTGCCTACACACCTCACCGGCTAGCGTTAACGTAAAAACAACTATTTTTACTATTTGGATTGCCTAGACATCGATGAACATAACTTTGAATTTCAATGGACTACTATATGCTTAACAATAGCTAAGCTCATACGATCAGATAGTATTTGCATACGCACATTAAAACCATAATTTTTGCAATGAGTTGCTAAATAAAAAATGAAAAGGTCTTTCTTAACTCACATACGTTGCAAGGATCTTATTCCATGTTGCCTAGTCAAAGTATAGTTACTACCATTACGGCGATCGTAGTACATTTGCTTCGGGAGCTTGGAAAGCTATTTAGCAGAACGCAAGTCATTTCCAGACACATCTGTCGAAATTCGAACGTTCCAGCAGTAGAAGCTGTCCAAGAACGGTTAAATAAGCGAAAGGAATAGTAGTATTGTTCGGTTAACCCTCTCCGGTAACGAATGCAGTGCTACACGGGTACACTGTGCATCTGAACGAACACCCCTCACATATAACTGGATATATTTATAATCGGTACCAGAAATTGAGATTTAGAACAGAGATACAAACTCGACCAAACGTAGTTCTCGGTCCAAATAAACACAATATAATAGCGTAATCGTAGCCAAGCCTCGTGCGTCGAGACATTTTGTCAATTATTATCTCAACAAGAGTCCTTGTTACTATTACAAGTACGACTATTAGACTTGTTTACCATTTTATTTGTGTGATAAAATGGAAACACTACTATTTTAAATCAGTTATATTTTATTGACGTCAGGTTAACAGAACTGACGCAATTCTACAAATATTAATTAATTATCCGTTAGTATCCCGACGGTAAGGCATATGGAAATCATAGCAAGAAACAAGCCCAATTGACACTACACCCATGGCTCTAATTAAAAACGAATTGCATCATACTTTTTAGTTGTCTAACCTAATCGCAGTAATGATCAATTATCATGGGCTATAAGTTCTAATGTTTGCTGATGACAAACTCCGTCCTAATCGAACGTCGATGGAAACTGCGAAGAAACCAGCCATAATGGAAATGTCGTAATAACATTTGTACATCAGGACGTACGTCCATTACGTGTCTGTAATGTGTGAAAGTATAAATAAGTAAATGTAAAGGTATGAATAATAAATGAAACAGGTTCTGTATATGGCTCGCGTCATTTGTTTTGCGCAAGTTTCGTTTCTCTTTATTGTTGCAAATAATCAGCGCTCTTTAGTCTCTCTCGAGAAATTATTGCTAAGGCATTTCCTGGTAATAATAAAAATCTTCCATATTCCTTGCGATACTTTTTTTTTGTTGAGGATGTCACATCAGATGCAAATTAATTACTTTAGTCCGTAAGCCTATTGTAGCGTCGTTTTAATAAAGAACAGTTGCATCATGCTTTTACACGAAAGAATGGAATATTGATCATAACGATGATCATGTCCGACGTTCATTTTCGTTTACGGCCGTCCAGGGTTAGTTCAGCTGCTATTGTTCCTGGTTTTATATACCAGGTCGATTATCATGAAAATCGTCACAGCATAAAAGGTGATGTCCTGCACAAATTCAATTTGTTCCGCAACAGTCCTCTCTCCCATCATGTCAGGCAGTACGCTTGCGACGTCAATGAATATGAGCTTCAGCATCGCTAATATGCAACTACAGTTGTATAGGTAGTTACAAATGGTCATAACAATTGCTGGATAAATGATAACCCATTTAATGGACCCCGCCACAAAGCCTACGAGCATAAACCACAACGGTGGGCAGCTACTGAGCCCGGCGGCTGCCGCCATATGATCACTGTGGATTATAAAGGGCATTACGAAACCGTACGCGATATTACCAAGCCGTCCGGTGAAACCTCGTTGCAGGGCACGTCGTGAAAGTTCTCGATATAAATGGGTATACCATATTCTATCCAGGCTAGCTATCAGTTCGCCCTTTGCTTTTTCGGCATCATCAGGGTACTTGCGCAGTTGACTATAGCCTAAAAACGTCAGACAATCAAGTATGAACACTCCGAACCACCAGGATATCATTTCTGGGGCTACCTTTAGAACAAGATTCCAAACTCCTACAGACGATCCTTTAATCACGCCTGAACAGCGAATTACATCGGGATAAGGTGGAGTTTCAAAGGACGTCGACTTACAGACGTTCGCGCCCACAGCCACCCGTGCCATTCGCGGTAACACAGCGAATGCGAGCGTTGACGTACTATTTCGCAAACCATTACAGTCAAGCATGCCTAATATAATCCAATACGTCACCCAGAACAATAATGGCCGGTTTATGTATAGCTGATGCTTGCCCTCGAAATGAAAGTAGATTATAAATAAGGTTAGAAGATGCGCAAACAAGATTCGGGACGTCTTGTTCGATAGTCTACTCTGCCCATGAACTTTCGACGCCGGGCAACAAGTCAACAGCCATCCTCCGAGATTACGGCACTCACTGAAGATTCCACGCCGCTCAGATTCGGTTACGGAGAAACGCAACGTCGTGCTCTTATCCTTATCCCTATTCATATTGACCTCGCGTATTCGCAAGCAGCGCTTACTCAACGCTCAGTGCTTCGTTTTTGTTCTATCGCTATCCTAATAGTACGGAAATTCATTATCGCGCCTACGTCGCACCGTCGCCAGATCAACTAGAGAGATCTTCCCCAGTTGAACGTCATACAATGCCGATTAGCCAACTTGTAACGAAGCACTTAACCATACCTACGAATAGTTGGCAGTGATGAGGGAGATGATAAAAATATACGTGGTACATTCAAAGATCTTCTACGTTTCAAGTTTTACACATTCAAAGGCCCTACAGAAAACTACGAAGATAGTAACTCGTAGATTAAGACTGACACGGTGATTATAATAGAACTCTAGATCCGTGCGTTGGCGCAATCTCTTAAGGGTTGTCGGCAATATGCTTGTGTTTTCAGAATATTTCTTCAGAAGTACTTCTTCGACAATTGAAGTGTCATTGCACACGTGGTTAAAACATTATTTGATAGAATGGTGTTTCAGTACTTTATTAAAGTACTGAAACACCATTCTATTAGTATTCTTTCACGGGAATTATGTGTTTATTGTCACTAAACAGCATGAGCCTCTGCAGTAGATTTACAGCCTAGATCAGGAGCTTTTATTTTTGACAAAAGGCAGCTTTGAGTCCGGGACGTCAAAATGGTAGGCGGTCATGTTGCCGTTATGTCCTCTTCAGCACTGGCTAAACCTAAAGCAACTGATCTTCATTTTAACAAATTTTGTGGTATAGAGCCTCGAGTGCCATAGCTATTACAAAGATGAATGTATCCAGAGCAATGTTACACGTTTCATTCTTTATACAATCTATAGCCAATGCTGAAGCTGATTGATTACCAATCTCTGCTGACACCAGCAAAACATGGTAGATACACATGACTGTAATTGGATTTGTTTTGCTATTAACGACGATAATGTTTTACTATTAATACTATGAATGTAACAACTAGGAAATATTAAGTTAGTAGTTACACAGCGTACTCCAAGATGCAGGACGAACAACGGCAGTCAAAAATCTGAATGTTGAATGCTAAGGTTGATTCTTTATGCAGGCATAACAAACAGAGTTTGATATATGTTTTTGCCTCCGAAGCGTGCACACATGCATATGCATATACCGTTGTTATCACTTTTCACATCGCTAGATTCACCACTTGATGGCGCTAACGTGTCTGCATTGCAGATTCGGGTCTCTTAGCGTTTGTCTGCTAAAACAAGGTCACTTGTTCGGCACTAGCGATGATGTTCGCGGAGGTTTTGTTTTTTTGTTTCGAGTGTTGCATTACTGTGCCGGCTCGTTTACGTTGTTCTGGACACTAATACGCCTCCCGCTCCCTAATCCCCCTGTATCTCTGGGGGTTCCCAGGCGCCTTCGTCAATAGTCAAATCGTTTACTGCAGGCCACGGCACGTCCTGCTTCTTCCAGTTGTTTTCTCAGCTTGAGAGAAAACCAGTGAATCTAAAATTTAAATTTCTAGCAGATTTACTATTTGGCACTCGGAATGTTTTCCTTGCCGCCCACTGTGACTCTGTCCCAACGACACTGACAAGGGGATCTGCAAAAGAAAGGTCTCAAAGCTACGTGAGAGAGAAAAAATGCATACAAGGCATGCGCTGAAAACCGAAACGATCGAGCAACGTGTGTCTCTGGAGGGATAGTATCGCGAAGAAAGGTCTACGAAACGCCACTTCCACTGTTTTCTGCATCTCCTATTGATAGCAGCAACTGTAGGCGGCAACCGTAAACAGCTTAGCTGGAGCAAAGCAAGCGGTGAAGATTCAGAATCGATTTTTGCGGTGCCCGCCTGACGCCTCGAACGAATTTAGGAACACTGTTTGCGCATACGGAACTGTCGGATAGCTAGGTACAATGAATGAGCACAATCCTTTTCATGTTATTCTCAGCATTCAACGGTTTGCGTTCCTTTCGTATGCCAGTTTATTAATAGACACCCTTGATCAGTAGCATTATAGCACGTCTAACATTTAAAGGCCATATTACGTTCCCTAACACTTTAGCATATAGTAGTACAACTTAAGTATGTTAACGTACGTCCCATTCATCACTCTTACGCTTAAGTGAGTTACTAACGAGGAGATACGTTCTTAGGCCTAATTGTTAATCCAAGCCAGCACATCTGTATATCAAAACACTTTCTGGATACTAACTGTGACATCGGTTTTTTTTTTCTTTATACGCAGATGCTGTCGCTATCAATCTTGAGACCAACAGGATTATCAGCGACAGCGAGCACACTCATTGCGCCAACGACGCTTTTTATCGAAAATGCGCTGTTCTTAATCGTAACATAATTGCCCATTTTATTAATTAAAATGATATTTATATGTGCATAAAAATCTCATTGCATGTACCATATAGTATGTAGCAAAACCGTGTACTACAAAACATTTAACGTTTTGGTTAGTTCTGTTCGCCCCTTTACGGGCTTCATTGGCCATTAACCCCGTATGATCAAAATCGTAACTGATCTCAGCCATCTTCCTTATTCATATACTCCAAATAAGCAGAAGTAGTAGGCTGTTTGAATTTCCGTTTCAGGTACCCTACAGGTATACGTAAACGAACGACACAGTTCCATAACGCATTTCGGAAATGCAGGTTTAAATTCGTGTTTCCAAGTTCCGTGTGTCCGAGTTCTGCCTATCCGAAGGATTCCCACACTACGCAGTGAGCCCGTAAGAAACCCCCTGGAGTCACTTTATTTAATGTAGTGCTAGTGCCATTTAAACAACATGACTAAAGTGAGTTCATAAGCGTACATTCGTCACCATCGCTTGGCGTAACCTCTTCGTGATGTTCTCTGAAGAGATTCAGACGTACATTAGTCAAATGATTCACGCTCAGGAACTTCAAAGCTGGTTACTGAAAGTACTTCCACCTACCACTAGCCGTCCTAACTACATGCAGCGTATCTCTGACATCGCGACGGCAGCTACGGTAAAGGTTTTTATTACCCTCACCTTATCTACGTATAGCAAAAAAATTTGCGTTAGCTTATTGTATATAAGAGCGACTTCTTTCACAGATGGCAAGATCGTTGGCATAGAACAGCGTTCGTACGTGTTTCGCTCGATCTTGATTAGGGAGGGCAGCAGAAAGAGTATCAATGACTCATGTTTTTGGTTCTATGTCAATTCTTTGGACTAACGGTTCGAATTGGACCACTCGACCTATTCGGACCAGGTCTTCTCTTATACTATCGCCTTGATTCGATTCAGCATATTTTAAAGGTACTTTCGTTCTGCAAACTTCCCTACACCTGTTTCACAACGCTATACTAAATATCTATTAAAAACGCATAAACATGGCGTCGAGTGTCCGTTTTGGTCGACTTCAGATATGGCATGAATCCTAAAGTAATATGTCGCATGCTGTTACATGTTTGTATCTTAAGCGGAATCAGCGTTGTTCAATCCGAACACAAGCTTCCAAAAATCTCGCTGGACGCCGTGTGATCGAATGGGCAAAAGACTTGGAAGCTAATTACTTACACAAAGTAATATA